CAGCAGGGGAACGCCTGGCTTTGGGAGGAAGGAGCTAATTATTTTTAGCCCCTGGAGTTCCTACCTGCATTGGGATTAGCTGTCTTTGTCTATAGCCAGGTGTGTCTTATAGACACTATTGGATGCTGAGCCCAGCTGCAGTATTGGTGATGCGAGTGCCTGTCTCTTTTGGGTGCCCTACCTAGCCCATGGTGTGTTAGATGCCTCTGCAAGGAAGGGGAGGAGAAGCTGTCTGTGGCTGTCCTAAACCTTTCAGCTGGACCACGGGGGAGGAGGAGAACTGAGAGAACGGCATTTCATGTGAACTCTGTGTTCTGATTTCTTTCAGAAACATAATCATGCGTGAATTGGCTCCCCAGTTTCATATTCCCTGGTCCATCCCAACAGAGGCAGAAGATATCCCCATTGTCCCCACAACTTCAGGCACCATGTGAGTACTTGCGAACTTCTCAAAAGGATCCCTTTAATGGCTCCATAAAAGATAAAGTACGAGTCGTGTCCAAGAGTCATACATCACACAGTGGCACTGCTTTCTCCAGCAGCTGTGTTGGTTGAGATACTGAAGACAGATGTCTACAGAAAGGCTCAGTTGTGCTCAGGAAATGGACAATTGGTGGTAAATGAGTTGTAGGAATGATGAATGCAGAGGAGCATTCTCTGAGGGAATTACAGAAACTGCTCATATGGCTTTCAGGAAGCTTCAATTTTCGATCAGCACAGGGAAGGGATTAAGGCATCATTCTACCTGGCTCAGTGGAACCACTGTTCAGCAGACAGCTGCCCAGAGCAAATGGGTTTTAAGCTGCCAGTGAAATGGGTGAAAAAATATTAGCTGAAGTATTCATGTTGGGTGTACACTTGCGAGGCTCTCATTTGATACTGTTGGCCATATTGGCCTTCCACCATAGAAAGCTGAAAGACTGAAGACAAAAAATTCTCTGTGCTCCTGAACATGCTTGCATGAATTGGAAAAAAATAGATGCTACAGAAAAGGTAAACTGAGAGCATGTGTTCATTCTTCCTGTAACATGGGATCATTTGGATAAAGTTGGCAAATGCTGCACAGCTCACGGGGCTGCTGACTTCTGTTATATCTTGTGACAGTGAAACAGATAGAATCAGTACCCATTTGTCCGGGATCTTATAACAGATAATAGATGGATATTTTAATATCTGAAAAAGCAAAGTCATATAGCCCTTCTGAAATGAGCCAACCTAAATACTGGTTCCTGCAAGTGGCTGATTGCTGCAGACTCTCTCTATATACAGCTATTACGGATTGGTCACAGATAAGACCCTGACTGTATAACCGTTCTTCTGGAACAAGTTGATTTTTTTCCTACGTCCTTCCAAGAGGTGCTTTGAGGATTATGCAAGTTAGGCATGTTAAACTGTGCCTTTCTTGGAAGAAGTTTGGTACAATTCAAAACGCTATATCTGTAGATTCTGTAACATCTAGCCTGTTTCCCATCTGCTGTCGATTTGATTTTTGCGTGTCATATTACGATGCTGGGGTGCTCATGAGCCTGGTAGTGTCTGCAGTACTTCGACTGCTCTTGTAGCCTTAGGACTTGTGCCTGTTTTAGGCTGGAGGATTTCTGTCGCTGATGAGGGAAGCAACAACTACTTTCTGGTGGTAATTCTGTAGCTTAAGGTTATGTTTGAGAGGTGCATCTTGTTTTTCCCCAGGATGGAACTTCGTTGTGTTATTGCAGTCATCCGGCACGGAGATCGAACCCCAAAGCAAAAGATGAAGATGGAAGTTAAGCATCCCCGGTAAGAACCAAGGCAAGAAGACACTGCACTGTTGGGAAATGAGGAGGGCCCACCTGCTGAATCCACAAGCAGAGCGGAAGGGCTGAGTACACGGGAAGCAGTGTTTTTCTATGTTTCCATTCAGGAACTGCTTTCTGCTCCATTGAGGGAGCCTTCTTTTCCCATACGGATCCTGGCACCTTGTATGCGAGTGCTGAAGGAAAGAGCGAAGGTTTGCTAGGTGCAAAAGGAAGTGCCTCACCAAAGGGAAGCTAGTGGCTACTTGCTTTTCTTACCTGAGGCTGAAAACACTTGTTCTGGGGGGATTTCTGAAGTGTAGGGGGGAGTCTGTGGGCCTACTGGTTCTCCTTGAAGAACAGGGCATGAATGCATATATAGGGATAACCATCCTTGTAGCACTGGAACAGCAGAAACTGGATCAGAGTTCTTTGTTGTCTGTTCAGGTTCTTTGAATTATTTGAGAAATATGATGGCTACAAGACAGGGAAGTTGAAGCTGAAGAAACCAGAACAGCTACAGGTGAGGGGAGCCTTCCTCTCTGGGGTGGTTATGTGGGAGATGCAGGTAATATGGATCCCAGTGCAAGGGAATTCTTTGGGAGGGTGGAAACCCTTAAAGGGGCAACAGTCACTGTGTCATTGCCTACCCACTGTGTACGCAGCAGGGTAATAGTATGAGAGCATAGTGGAGACTGCTCCTGGCTAAGACGAAGACTGTAGAATGGAGACAGCCTTGCTGCAGCTAGGCTGTCTGTTGTGGTTGCCTCTGGTGAGAGAACACTCCAAGCTGTGAAGTGGGGGGAGTGTGAGGCATCTATTTGGTCCTGAACAGGGCTGGATTACAGGGTGAGGATGAAGCAGACTGGAATGTGAAAGTTTGTCCTGCTCAAGCTGTGTCATATGAAATAATGTGTCTTTAATGAGTGTGTATGCAGTCCTGATGCTGGCTGGAGCCTTCTGGAGGCCTTGCAAGAGTACGGTGGGTGAGTCTGAACCAGATTTGCTGGGCGCTTGAGACAGTGTCTGCTTTCCAACAGGAAGTGCTAGACATTGCACGGCAGCTTGTGGTGGAACTGGGAACACAGAGTGACTGTGAGATTGAGGAGAGGAAATCCAAACTGGAACAGCTGAAGAGCGTTTTGGAGATGTAAGAGTTAATGTCTTGGGGCAACATGGGTTTGTCTCAGGGCTGTGGGTCAGCAAGGGATAACAAGGAAGCTGTGAGAGAAGGATGTAGAAGCAAGCAGCGCTGTTGATGTCTTGGCCAGCTAGTTCCCCAGAGGCCAGACTCCTGCATCCCCTTTTAGTAGCTATACATGAAAGGTGCCATGCTCCTAACTTTCTCCTTGGCATCAAAGCCAATGGTGATTCTTGTTCCAGATGTGTCCGATTTTTAGCTAGAGAACTCAAGGTGAAGCTGAGCTTCCATTGCTGCAGGAATGAAACTGGAGTCCCCCAGGGACCACATAGATAGGAAGCGTCTTGATAAATTTGGAACAAACGTGGTTTTACGTGAGGTTGTTCTGGTGACAAAAGTTTAACAAAAGGCACCTTGGGAAACGTGAGTGAATGTTTGTGTCCTCTTAGGTTTCATACAGCCAAAAGAAAAGACGATATGGTGGTGTTGGCATGTTAGAAACAAAAGGAAGGTTTCTGAGAGAGCCATAGTTCACTGTGGCATACAGGCAGTGTCTGTGTTCATGCCTGTGGGGTGCAGAAGATGAATTTTCACCATGGTTGCTTACCCTGCTCTTTCTGCTGATTAGAGGTGTAGGTATATTTGTGCTTACATGGCTGGTAGATTGTTTTTTCTGTAACTTCATTAATTCACTTGTTAAAGATGTAGATAGAAATTATCAAAGATTGGTTAAAGCCCCTTTGGGATATGAAAGCACAGAATGATGTCAGCTGAACAAAGCAGGCAAGTAAAGGAGTCTGAATTTTGACAGGGGAGGAGAGGGTTGGGCTTCTGTTTTGTTTTATTTTGTTTGCATGCTGGCTCACAGGTAGATGTTTATGTGGTGAAATGTTTGTGTCCCTTGACAATGGTGTTGCAGGGGGAAGTCAGGGCCTGTATTTTATTTCTGCTGCGTGTTACCTAGGGAGCTCTGGAAAGGGGTGAATGGAATTAATTTGATTTTATTTTTTGGTTTTCCCCTCTCCTTGTGACAGGTATGGACATTTTTCTGGCATTAACCGTAAGGTGCAGTTGACCTATCTGCCTCATGGACATCCAAAAGCTGCAAGTGAAGATGAAGGTAAAGAAACCTGATGTTGCTGCCATGATGTTAAGGCCTGGTGTTCAACAATGTGCATCTATCCCACCTATAAAGGCCCCTGGAGATGAAAGGAGTATTATTGACCCATATCTTGTCTTTGCTGCTGTCGTAGGAAGGGCTGGAGAGATGCACGGTGTAGTGTACTAATACACCCTGGTTGGTGCCACAGGTTTTATGCTTCTGATTTCATGAATGTCAGCCTGTAAATACAGGTGGAACTCCGATAGCTCCAAACAGTCAAAGACACTCTTATTTTGGTACTTGCTGAAGTACCAAAAGTACTCCCCTCCTCTCATTTTTGAGACCTGCCATAGTGAGTGCCTGTTTGTCTCCTAGAAGCTCGTAAAGAGTCTTCCCCATCTCTTCTCCTGGTGCTGAAGTGGGGTGGAGAACTGACGCCAGCAGGAAGGGTCCAAGCAGAAGAACTGGGGCGAGCCTTTCGCTGTATGTACCCTGGTGGCCAAGGTAAGCTTTTTCCATTTATCTCAGGTCCTGTCATGTGACTGCACCAGAATGCCCAGCCAAGTTGACTAATCACCAGCACATACAGGGATGCTCAGACTTCTGTGGACTGTGTGCAGCCTGTGTGACTTGGCGATCATTAGTGTTTCTGTTCTTTTGCGTTGAACCGATAAAGATGAATACTTAAAATGGGCTTTGCATCTAAAAAGCCCTAAGCTGGCTAGAGATTGCTGCTGTGGTTAAGTGTTAGAATAGCATTCTTTCAATTAATGTTCCAGTATTCAAAAAAGAGAAGCCATTCTAAGAAAATGACATTTTGATGCAGCCAAATGCGAAAGTTATATATTGATTAACAAGGAATTTAGGCCAGATGTAGAGAACAGTGGAAATTGTTTTGGAACACAGATAATTCTGTCTTGAGACAGGGGATTAGATGGAGAACTTCCATGTTTTCTCTACCATGATTATGTGACTGATTGCGAAAAGCATCTAGCACACGCATAGATCAACAAGAGCCCAAAGAATAAAAAAGACTAAGAGATTGCTTTTTTCATCCAGTTAAAGAAGAATCATAAGTAATGCACTTCTGTACTGGTCTGAGACCAATACTGGATACTGCTTATCTTTTGACTTCTATGATTATTTAACTTAATTTGAAATGGAATTAATTAATTTAGATTGAATTGGAGAAGATGCAGTACAGTCGCAAAAAATTAAGGCCTGGGAAGGGTGGATTTTAGGGATAGCTTTAAATAGTGCAATGTCTTTCATCTGAAAGATTCAGGGATAAGGGCTATGGCAAAGGGGAGGAATCCAGTGCTGCCAGGTTTTCCTGTCTACTGGAGATAAGCCTTTCTAGCCATTGATCTGGTATAGCAGTGAAGTAATAGACCGGTTCTATAAAGAAGGAAGGAAAATGGTGGACTTTTTTGTTCTTCTTGCCTTCACACGAGAGTTTAATGTTTTCCTGGAAGACGTTCTAGCCAAATATAAGTCACTACCCTGTCTAGGGCAGTGTGACATGTGGTAGCCTGTAAGGTACAGGAGATTGGACTGTGTGATTACCACTGCTGAACTCGGAACAGCTCTTAAAAATGTTTGCTGTGAGACTAATGGCCCCACCTGTGTCTGCACACAATATAGCTGACAGTTTCTGCTTTGTTTTGTGGGGTTTTATATTGCTTCCGTGGATCTTCTTACTGCCATTCTAACGTACAGAATCTCTAAGCGTATGCTATTACATTTGCAATATAATAAAAGTAGTGAATGACAAACGGACCTGGAGGTATCAAGGTGGTGTTGATACGTCCAGAATGCGGGGCTGTAATAACTCTTTGCTCTTCCTCTAGTCAGTGTGTTGGTGAGTAGTACAGGCATGGCGTAGACTCTTCAAGAGGGTACCCATTACAGAGTCTTGGCGGCTTTAAGGTGACATGCCTCTAATCTCAAAAGAGCACATTTTTAGCACATGTGAGAATAAACTTTCCAAGAGATGAGAAAACTAGTACGGCTGACTGTGCAATGCCAGGAAGTAGAGCAAGACTGTCAGCGCGCAGAGACTAAAGGGGAAGTAGCAGTAGTGATTAGAGGATCTTCATGTCAGGGCCTGTGTGCAAGTTTTGAAGACAGCAACAATGGCAACGTTAAAAGGGCTGGAAACTGTCTGGTGCTGTTGTGGATCTCTGAAGCCAGGAGCTGAGAGGAGCAACTACTGACTTGGACAAGAGGCTGGAGAGACTAGAGGAGAAAATGTGTAGGGGAGAGGATTCTGGGAAAACTCCTGGGAGTAAACTGCAGTATAACGAGCCAAATCCTGAGAGAAGAGACTTGTCTGCAGAGCTCTGGTCAAGTGGGGTGCGGTTACCACCAGGCTGGGCTGGGCCGGGCCCTGAGGTCCTGTCTGTGCCAATCCTGAACACGCTGTTCCACGTCTGGAGAGTACTGAGTTGCTGCCCCCTTGCCTACAGTAGGGCTAGGACTGAGCACATACAAGCAGACTTCAGTCCCTCTGAATCATGGATTTGGAGTTTTCTGCATCAGGTAGTCTTTCATGGAGAGGGAGAGATCTTACTTTGCAATGAGATGCTGTGTTACAGTTTCTGGGTAGTAGCTGGTATGTGGCTGCTTTGTCCAGATATGCAGCTGACTTCTGTCTGCTCTCTCTTCCTGTCTAGTAGGATGTTTCTTGGAGTTGTGAGCTCAGTGCTGGGAGCAGTTATCCCATCTGCCCATGCACTGTGGCTAGGTACTGTGCAAATTCATCAAGGGATCCCAGGCAGCAGCAAATTAGTCACCACTGTTCCATCTCTGGAGGGTCAGACTCAAAGCTGCATGAGTTGCCTTCTCCCGTTACTGCTCTGTATCCTGTGGTCAACTTGGCCATCATAAACAAAATAGTATTTCGTACCACAGGATAACTGCAGCTGTACTGAATATGTTTTGGAAGCCATACTCCTCACTACTGAATGCCTGTGACTGCAGTTCTGACGGCAGCAGTGCCTGCTTTTGCACAGAAAACAAGTAGAAGGAGGGAGGCTTTTTGTGCAGCTTTATTCTGCACAGGGGCATTCAAGCTAGCAGAATAGCTACTGACTGTTGGGAGAGGGTTCCTGCAGAATTTAGGTAGCATCAGACCTTGACTGGTGAATTTGCACTCTCTTTCAGAAATGAACTTTCCCAAGATAAGCAAGACCTGAATCAGATTTTCAACCTTAACACGTTAGCTAGAACTGTCTCTTTTGAAGCAGCCTAAAGGCTGGCTATGAAAGTGATGTATTCTCTCTGTAGCTTTGATACTATGGGAAGGTTTGTTTTCTAAAGCAGTGGGATGCTGCAGTGTATTCAGCTGATAGTTTTGTAGGTGGCAGAAGGCTGATTTTGAGTCTGTTTTCTGTTCCAGGTGATTATGCTGGTTTCCCTGGATGTGGCCTGCTCAGACTGCACAGCACCTACCGTCATGATCTCAAGATCTATGCCTCTGATGAGGGACGAGTTCAGATGACAGCAGCAGCTTTCGCAAAGGTCCTTCCTCTCTTTTGGGCATCTGCTAGTTCTGCTCCATAAGGCTTAAAATATGCCTGTTCTTCGTCACTGGAAATTTTCCTTCAGAAGGAACTGTCCTGAGTGTTTCCTCCCCTCTGGTGGGAGGATGGGGCAGTATGCTAATAGCAAGTACATGGAGCAGTACTGGAACTCCAGCGTAGCTCCATGTATATGTTGCCCTTGGTATAGTGCCCAGGATAGGAATCTGATAGGTGAATGAGTTATTTATGGGGTATTACTTGTGTGTTTGATGTTAGAGCATATTTCATATTGCTGAGTACACAATTCGTATGCAATAAGAATTTCTTTGGTGACAGTTCAGCTAAAGGGGTTGTTTGCTGGCTTATTGGATTTAAAAGGGAATGAAATGTCTGCAATTCAGTGGGGGGCAGGGGGAAGAAGAGAGGTTTATTTGCAGTTAAAGCCTGAGCCAAGGGGAATCCTGTGGTGACCTTGCTAGCTGCTCTTCAGAGCCTCTGCTGTGTCAGTGTTTTCCAGCAAGCTGAGTTGGCCGCTCAATGATGGCTTAAACTAATCTGGGTCTGCTGCAGACAGACCTGATGTTTGGCTTAGAATAGTTCTAGGAGCATGCCAGAATCGCTTCTAACTGTAGGTGTTCTTGCTGTAAAGCTGCTCCTCAAGGACAGTGGAGATTTCACTCAAGTTGCCTGAAGTCTGGCCATGAAACTTGCAGAAATGTTTGTTGCTTGGGTTGCACGCAGCTGAAATCCTGTCCCGTGCTGCTTTAGGGTCTCCTGGCCCTGGAAGGAGAGCTGACCCCCATTCTGGTGCAAATGGTGAAAAGTGCCAATATGAATGGTCTCCTGGACAGTGACAGTGATTCCCTTAGCAGCTGTCAACACAGAGTGAAGGCACGGCTGCATGAAATCATGCAGAAGGATGCTCAGTTCTGTGAAGAGGATTACGAAAAGGTAAAGCACCTGCATGACCTTGGATCTTTCTGTGTCTGGGAGGAGAATAGCATTGCTCCACTGGATGCAGATGGTAGTTTGGTCAGTCTGAGGTCAGTTCTGGTCAACGTTATAGGATATAAACAGAACATAGGAGGGAAAAGGGAAGGTTTTTATAGGGTAATAATCCCTGCCTTTCTCCCAATGAAAATCCTCAGTGTTATTCCCCTCTTCCCTTCAAGAATGATCATGGTACCTTCCCCTCCCTTTAGGAAGTACCAGTGCATTTTATTTTTATGGATATATTAATAGAAAATGGATTTGACAAGTCTGATTAATGTGTGTATAAATATAATGTGATTGGTTGGCATTTGGCAGGTTTTTTGGAAGATTTCCACTGTGTGGAATCATTATAGGCTATATTAGAGGAAAGCTCCAAGCTGTTGTGAAAGGACTGGCTCCTCCAATGTTATATACTATGTTTTCATATGGGTTAGAAATTGTAATAAATAATCCTTGTTCTATGTGGATTTTCAATGATGACCCTACAAGGGCCTGTTTCTTTGGTGGTAAAACAGAAAACAGTAACCAACGTAGGCTGCTGGAGTGTCAGGAAATTAAGAGGGCATTTTACAAAACAATGGGTCCTGCAATACACTGGGCACAGTTGAATGACGTTTTATGTACACCCTTGCACGTAACTGCGGGGACAAAGCATTTGCACGTCCAATGCACAGAATTGGGACTATATTCAGGAGAGCAGTGATGCTGAAAAGAGCATTGTAGTCAGCTGAGTAGCTGCACGAGAAGACATTGCTTCTTCCATATGACTGGGAGAAAATGGCTCCCCAGTTGCTTCTCTGCAAAATGGGAAGTGGTCCTGGGATAACTTGCTATTTTGGTAGCCCTCAGTGGTTTATTCCCTCCTTTTCCCTCCTCTCCTGGCTGGAAATTTGGACAGCTCAGCTCAGTGCAAATGCAGCCTTGCTGCTAGTACCTGACAGTTCCAGGATGGGAACCATATAAACAGTGATGCAAAGTTGCTTGCTGCTTAGGTCAGATTGTGTCATTTAGAGGTTAAAAACTGACTTTAGAAGCAGATTTAAGAAGCATGATTATAAAAGGAGGTATGATCAACTTTTAAAATGATTTGGCATGGAATAGAATGAGCTTCGACTCTATGAATGCAAACTAAGTATCTTTCTCAGATAATCGCTACTTGGGGAAACAGGGAAGGAATCACATTTCACATGGGCTCATTTTTCTTTCACTGTCTAATCTCATCAAGGTCTATGTTGCTATAAGGCCTACCGAACATGCTTCAGATGCCTGTTGGTCTTCCAAAAATGATGCCTCATCTTTTCAGTTGTCCAGCTAAATGCTCTGGATTTGATTCTAGGACCACTGTATGAGGCTTTGGCCTGTGATTTGCCTATGGGGAAGCTAAGTGGTCGTAATCTTCTTTTTAGGTGTTCAAGCTGATGAATCTTTGAGCTCCTATTTTTGTATGTTGTGGTTCATGACTTGAAGAGAGAAGATTTTGGCCTTGACAGTTGCTAATCCTCCTGCACCCCATGCATATGTCAGTGCTGTGACTGAGGCTGTGAGCACAACAGCCAAATGCAATAGTGTTTGCTTATCCTGGACTCACTGGCAACCACTCATCACTAATGCAGATGAGAAAAAGCAGAGAGACTTTTCAGTCCTCGCCTCCTGTGGGGTCTGTCTTGTTGGGATGTGAGTTCTTGGGGTTTACTGCATACTTCTTGGGACAATCTCAGTTGCTTTGGATGAGGAGTATATCTTTGCAGGATTCTAGACCCACTCTAGAAGATTTTTGGGACACAAACCCTTTTGTGAGCCTATCAGCATCTGATAACAGCAGAATAGAGAGCATGGGCTACATCTAGCATAGCAACCAATAAAAGGCACTATAGCTGCTTCTCTGGCAAGTCCCTGAGAAACTATTTTTTACAGACTCTGAGATCTAATTACAGGGCTGAAATCTATTACCATTAAGGAACATTTTTCACCTGAAAGAATTGTTTAAAACATCTGGGAGGCCCTTTAGCCCAAGCACTGAGAAGCAGTTTACAAGCAAGGCAAGAAGGGGTCTTGTAGGTGAAGGGAGATCTGATCTGGAAGGAGTAGTTGTTTGCCATTTCTGACTTTGGTCCTGAGGCAGTTCTAAGAACATGCCCAAGTATCTCCAGAACTAGCTTATTACGCTCGACTGGAACACAACTTTGTACCTAATCAGAAAGCAGGGCAGCTGAAAGAGGCAGACATTTTGTTCTCCCACTTTGCAAAGATACTAACTGATCTGTACTGGTATTTTCTCCCAGCTAGCACCTACTGGCAGTGCTTCTCTACTCAACTCCATGACATTTATCCAGAACCCAGTAGAGGTCTGTAACCAGGTGTTCACCCTGATAGAGAATCTCACCTCTCAGATACAAAAACGTCTGGAAGACCCTAAATCTGCAGGTGAGCGTCACAACTGAAAATGGTCTGGAGCAGATTCACTTTTCCTTATATGAACACTTTCCTTATAGCTCCCATACTGGGGTTTATGTACGTGTCTCCCGCAAAGAAATTCTAGAGTGAAATTATGTATGTACTGTTGATGTAGAAGCTTCTATTCTGCTTTGAACTAGTGTTCAAGAGAACTGTAATGTAAAGGAATTGGTAAGTGCATCCTGGGATTAAAGTGAATGTAGATAGTATCAGTGTAGCCTGGAGGAGAGAGAGATACCTGACTTTTTTCAAGCATTTCCTGGAGGGGGGCTCAGTACTATAAATAGTAAGCTTCTCAGTCTTGTTGACCTCTAAGAACTTTCCTAATGACAGTGCAGAGCCTTAAAAAACAGCTGTGGGACATTCACACAATTTGTGGCAGACATCAGCCAAAAATCAAGCAGCTTCACTTTTCTGAAATATTTCAGAAGTAGCTTATGGCTGCAGGTTAAAATACAGTGCACAGGTGCAGTGGCTTCTCGTAGCTAGGATTCCTGTGGGCAGCGTAATAATCAGGCCTTCTGTGCTAGAAGTCAGTCATAGAAGCCATCGGGTCAGCTGAAACACACGTAGTCAGGATGTGAATGTGACTTTGTGTTCACTGTTGTTTAGACCTGCAGCTGTACCACAGTGAGACTTTAGAACTGATGCTACAACGCTGGAGAAAGCTGGAGAGAGATTTCCGCATGAAGAATGGACGTTATGACATCAGCAAGATCCCTGATATCTATGACTGCATCAAATATGACGTACAACACAACTGTGCCCTGAAACTGGAAGGCACAGCAGAGCTCTTCAAACTCTCCAAAGCCCTGGCAGATGTGATCATACCCCAGGTACAGCCTGTCTTGCCTGACTGGGTAATGAAGTCTGTGCTGCCAGTTTCCAACTGTTTCCCTGTCTGTTTTTTCTCGAGTCTCATGCACGTTAACTCTCAAAGCAGTGTATTGCAGATATTTCTCAGATATTTGTAGTTGTTTGTATGTGGCCAAAACCATTTATGACATCCTCTCTAAAAGGGAAGATCTGGGGTTGAGATCAAGGATCAGGTCCTCTTGATGCAAGGCTGGTTCAGGTGAGTTGTGGTGACTCTAGCCTTAAAATGTTCTGTTTCCTGGATAAGGATTCTGACAGCTTCAGGATAATGAACAGGAGATGCAACAGCTTTTCCATGTTCTTCATAGTGCATTACAGGACAGCTTCAAGCTGTATCTGTACACTATAGCAACATTTTCTTCATACAAGATTGTATAGGGGAAGAAAGATTTCTGCTTTAGAGTAAAAGCTTCTTCTAGCAGATCTAATGTCCTTGTTGAACTAGAACTTCTTCAGCTTGCAAAGTTGGCTTCTCACCGAGTTCATGCATGCAGAAATGGCAGGGGAAAAGATGGTGAATATAGAGATTTATTGCATATAGCCATTGTTCTGTCCCACTTCAGGCATAAATGCTTCATGTGCATGGGACGAGCTCTTACCAGCAGGGTCCAATTGCACTTATGGGCAAAGGTGGGCTTCTAAGTGTGTTCATGCTCTTCTGGCTGAAATGCAGTTTGACCATTTCAAGTTTTATCTCTGCAAGTAGTAGGTACTGTGCTAATGCATGTGCCAGGTCTGGATCTAAGTGTTTATCATGAGAGAATGTTCTCTGACAGCATTTGCACCTCACAGCTCTTGGAACTCTACTGACAGCTATGTCTCAACACTTCTTGGAAGTATTTCTGTCCTCTGTAATCCTCAATGTGTGGAAAAAAATTACAGAAAGGTGCTGAGTGGCACTTCCCCTTTTGGCCTTGCATAAGTGTCGTGATTCCCGTGGACAGGACTGGAAGTCCACAGTCACTACTGTCATGTCACTGTGAACATGCAGAGGCTCTCAAAAGTCTGGGTGCTGGCAAACAGCCTTATTTTATTTGAAGATGTGGCAAAGAACCAAGGCTTAAGGATATCTATTGTTTTGTTTCTGTAGGAATATGGGATTAATAAGGAGGAGAAGCTGGAAATTGCTATTGGCTTTTGTCTTCCTCTTATTAAAAAGATCCAGTTGGACCTGCAGAGAACCCATGAAGATGAGTCTGTCAACAAACTGCATCCCCTGTAAGGATCATGTTGCATGCTGCTGTTGGAGGCGGGGCGGGGGGAGGGCAGGCTTTGGAACAGTGTGTGTATGAACCATGCCAGAAGACTATACTGGTGTGGGAGGAGGCACTAAACATATACTGAGGGACATACCAAGAGGGAGGCATGTTGGTGCTCCTAGAGCTGGAAAAGAAGTAGAAAGGCATGTTGAGGCTGCTGAGTGGGAGCCAAGCTGACACAGAAGTATAAACCCATTGTAACTGGATGGTGGTACACTCATCCTTGTCTCTGCAAGGAGAGGCAGATGCTAGTGTGATGAGGCTACCTCTGCCCCACCATATGCCTTCATTAGGATACCAGAGAACTGGCTGCTTCTGTGCCTAGTGCTCTCTTGGTTGGTTGTGTTTCTGCTGCTCTTTGACAGTTACTGATGTGTAATTATCTAATTCTGTTAAGCCTGCAGAGATGCTGCTGTATGGTAGATGATAATTCATTGAGGGATTGTGAGTAACAGGGGGCTGATTTTGGTTTAGGTACTCAAGAGGAGTTTTGTCACCGGGTCGCCACGTTCGGACACGGCTCTACTTCACCAGTGAGAGCCATGTGCATTCTCTGCTCAGTATCTTCCGTTATGGAGGGCTCCTGGATGTAAGTGTCCCAACAATGCTCCCAGAGTAAGCCTCCCTTTTTTTTTTTTTTTTGTTTTTGTTTTCAGTGGCCCTTTCCAGGATGGACAGTGTGTGTCTGTAGGTTGCCCCTCTAGTCAGCTCTCCCACTAATAACACATATCAGTGGCCTCTGGCCAAACTCCATCTCTGTTGTGTTTGTGTGCTGCAGCTTACTGCCTTTCTGGCATGTAGGAGGATAGTTCTTCCTCATTCCTGATACTGCGTGCCTTGCTTGTGTGGAGGCATGTTTTCTCCAAGAGCTGCCCTGCTGATTTTGGAGAAGTCTAGATCACTTATCTGTAGGAAGGGATCAGCGTCAGGGAGTAGAGATGAGGGAACTTCTTTCTTCCTACCTCCTTCAACCGTTTATTTAAAGGGTTTGGCCCTGTTATTTAGTGAGTTCTGTCAATTCTAAGCCAAAAAAATCGGTTTGCTCTCTGAGGAAGTGAGCTGGGATTGCAAGAGCATACGGAGCGAGTGCTCACTAATAGAGACAGATGGCCCAGTTTTAAGGGACTATGACTTTTCCAGTCCAAGCTCTTCACTAGATAAAAATAAGTCTGCTCTCAGAACCTGTTTCCTGATGGAATTGTCCTGCAGACCCTGAGAAAAGCCCTGCTTTAGACACCCGAGACCTTTTGGTTTGCCTTCCAGTTTTTAAACTTGGTGTTCTGAAATGCCTTGAGAGTTAGGACTTGTTTAGCAGGTGTGACTTCTGATGTCTGCACAAACTCACTGTCTCTGCAGGCGGTGATCGTGCAACTGGCTCTTAATTACTTGCTTACTGAATAAGATGCTGCTGTTATGCTCCACTCCAGTGTTAGAAGACTCTGTATTGGCAGCACAGGGATATTAGGCTGCATCTGGGTTCGTTTGTACCACTGGGGTTTGTTTCATATCCATCAAGATGGTGGAATGTTCCACAGCAGTGTGCAACACTGGACATGGCCATTCTCTAGCAGTGCTGGGAAACAATTAGGGGTGGGCTGCCCTGCCTTGTGGAGCCCAAGGGTCCTGGGTGGCTCTGTAGCCTTTTCTTTCAGCCTTGTGTATAAACAGCTTCACTTGGTCCATTTTTTCCCCCTGTTCGTCCCTTGTGCTTTCTTGTGATTTCTCTAAAACACTCCACTTTGTAGACCACCATTCGAGAATGACTGTGTTGGGGAGACCACCATTCGAGAATGACTGTGTTGGGGAACCTGCTGTGGATTATGCTTTTTTCCAATCAGCATGGCATAGGGGGCTTGCAGCTGGATGTGTTCAGATCTGCACGTGAATTGTATGGATAGCTGTAGTGTCCCTCTATGCAATTGCTCCTCACTGTAAGCACCCTGCCCTCATTGCAAGATCATTTCTCTTCATGCAAGTTAAGCAAGATGTTTCTGTCCTGACAATGTTATCTTGTGGAGAGGCAATGCCTCTCAGACCCATTTCACTGAATGCTGCAAGGTGTCTGCTGTTGCTTATTCCATGCGATTGTTTATGTGTATATATCAGGAGAACAAAGACCAGCAGTGGAAGAGAGCCATGGACTATTTGAGTGCTATCTCAGAGCTGAACTACATGACCCAGATTGTTATCATGCTCTACGAGGACAACAACAAGGTGAGGGATATAGCTGTAGGGTAAAATCCTTCCTGCTGTGATGCAAGGCACAGTCCCCAAGAGATGAGCTCAGCTGGGAAGTTTGTGACCTGAGCGCGCTCAACTTGTGAATAAAGATGTACAGACTGTTAACAAAACTGCTAGTTTTTATTTTAGGTGGGAGACGTGACCCAGTTAATATTTGTTAGAGGTAAACAGAATACCACCATGAGCAGTAATACCACACTCGCGTAATTAACGCTGCCTATTTTAAAGCATTTCCTAAAGTAAAACCATTTACTATTTCTTAATATTAAAATAAACAATTGGAACAATTAAATAAAAGCAAATGATATTTGGCAGTTGTTTCAGGATGCTTCTAGAAAGAGGCCAGAAATTCCACGTTCATAAAAGGCTTTTTAATTTAAAAGTATACTGATATATTTAGGGAATTATATATTGATGCATTTAGGAAATAACAGTCATTTTAAAAAGCAGCTGGGATGTGGAAGCTGATAGTAATGACCATAAATAGGTTCAGTGCAGAGTTGCTGGATAAGGTACCTCCTGCACTGCAGGAGATCCTAGTGAGCGAGTGGAGCACTCCTTTTACTCCATAAGCTGTAGAATTAGAATCTCATGTTCGGAGAGTTTATGTTGAGATTTTAATGGTAGAAGTGAAATATTTACCAGGGCTATTTAAATAAATAAATTACTTTAAGTCTAAATAGATCTCCTAGTAAGTTTCTTACCAAGTAGAGATGATTAAATTTTTGGTTTTACACCATTAGTGACAGAAACTGTAAAAGCCCTTGCTCCCTAAAAAATGTGCAATTAATTTGTTTGTTTGTTTTAATATTGGCAATAGCTACTTAAATCTTGGAACAACCTGGATCTAAAAACTAAAGGCCCTAGGAGGGAAGGAACTAAATCTCTGCCTGCCCCCAAATGTGCTGGTTTTGCAACAGGGGTGGATCAAAAGGGGCTATGTTTTAAGTGTGTGTGAATATAAGTATACATATACACACACATATATATGTATATATTTGTATATACACACACACACACACACATGCAGATCTGTAGCCTGATCCTGTTTTGGTCCTCTGATGGCTGTTGTCACAAAATAACAACAGTTTGAATGCCTCAGCTTTGTGCAAATAGGGGCTGTCCTTTTGGATGAGCTATAAACCCAAAGCCAGTTTGTTTGTGGTTGGTTTCTTGTTGCTTCCGCTTTCCTTCCAAAAGGATGTGCTTGGGGCGTGTGCTGCACTGGCATGGCAGGGTGGCCTGGGTTCAGATCATAGCCTGTGCTGACAGTGGGATTGATTATTTATTTATTCCCTCTCCCTTATGTTCACAGGACCCATCTTCAGAAGAGCGTTTTCATGTGGAGCTGCATTTCAGCCCTGGTGTGAAAGGTTGTGAGGAAGACGGAAACGTCCCCACAGGGTTTGGCTTTCGGCCTGCGTCAGCAGAGGTGAGCATGTTGTCTTGCATGTGAATGACACAGGCTGCTCTGCCTGCAGGGGATGTTGCTGACTCTGATCCTAGGTGCGCCTTCATATGCCTTACTATTCTGCCAAGTTCTGGTATGATCTAGTCTCAGCAGCAAATCTTCCTCTGACCTTTCTCTTGCATCTGAGAACTGTTAGAGGGTTACATTCCTTGCCTAGCTTTGCAGGCTGTTTTCTGGGCAGTCTTGGGCAATACATGGAAAAACAGAACGAAGATATCTTACTGAGCTTTGCAGAACTTGGACAACCAAGCCTAGAATGAATACCCTTGGCAATGCTTGGTAAGGTCATGTGCAGCTATAGCTGTCTGTCTGCTGCCAATGTTTTCTTACTGCAGAATGAGGACAAGAAAGCAGACCAAGGCAGCCTGGAAGACCTCTCCAAGGAGAAGGGCGTTGATGAGCCAGATCAGGCACAGCAGAGGTCTCCACAGCCCTCCGAGCCTGTCAGCATTCAGCGGAGATCACCACTGATCAGGAACCGGAAGACAGGGTCCATGGAGGTAATAACACAATGAGCACTCTGAGTTATTCCAATGAAGGTGCCTTGCCTAGCATTGGTTTCCTGGGATTCCTCTTAACATACCAGAGTCAGAATTGATTCTATGAAAGGATCAAGAGATGTTATATACGGATTTTGGAAGGCTGACCTGCCAAACTCCTTCTCATTGAGGAAAGACAGAGAGAACGTGGGTCAGAGCAGTTGGTGAGGAAGAGCAAGCAAGGAAATGCTTGAGAAGATCAACTACATTTAGATCACATGTTGTAAAGCCATTAACCACCTGTGAGATTGCATGCAACCTCTTCACCTAACCACGATGACATCTTTGGCTTCCTTTGGACTCCAGCCTTTGCATCTCACAGTTCAATTCCACAGTTCTTATTCCTGTCTCCCATCTGTGATCTCATGCACGTCAGAGGTGCCCACTAATTTAGTGAGCTTATTTGCGGAGTACTTAACCTGTCATAGAGTTTACAATTGTCCCATTCATTGATCTGCTAAAGCAATGGGTTTTTTTGTTTTTTTTTTCTTCCTAGCCTTACTTCTCTCCTTCAGGGCTGTCCCAATGTCATAAGACTAGCTTCATAGTCAGCTGGCAGCTGAAACCTTCAAGGTGCTCTAGAATTGCTTCTCATTCTGGAGGGGTTTAGCAGGCATTTTTGCTATCTATTTTCTGAGCCAGTGGAAGCAGAGTTTCAGGGCTTGAGAGGTTTGTTAGCTGACTGTGTCTCTGCGTCACTCATGATATAATTTTGTATGCAGCACTTGGGAGCTCTTTGTAGCAGGCACATAGTAAGTTAAAGAGGATATATTTTTCTGCTTCTGAAGAAGGAAGTCTATGCCAGTCTGTGCCAGTGATTCTAGCAGGAGTCCTGGGAGACAAGGAGCTGAGTACACAAATCCCTTCATACTTTTGAAATCTCTGCTGTTCCACAACCCAATGCAAACCTGAAATTAAAAGTAATTGGGCATGGACTATCACAAGCTGAGCTTTAACCTTCTTGAAAAATGTGATTCAAGGTCATTTTTCTTTAATCAATGTATAAAGGCTTTTGAGATCAGTAGGTGAATTGGTTAGGAATCCTTAGGGCAGGGCACTGATTATACTTTTTTTCCCCTCCCCCACAGGTTCTTTCAGAATCATCTTCCAAATCGGGTGGTTATCGCCTCTTCAGCACCTACTCCAGGCAGTCCTCTGAGATGAAGCAAAGTGGCTTAGGTACTGTATTTGACCTGTACCCAGCCTGTCCTCCTGTACCTCTGTATCTTTGCGTATATTTGTCAGTGTCTCTGCATATATGTCTGGCTCAAGTTCCACGTGTGTGTATTATGCCCTCTTGTAGTGTTGCTGCCTAGAGCACTGTAGAGGCTATTTTATTACAGAATCAGATTAGTCGAGGTAGGAAGAGACCTCCGGAGATCATCTAGTCCAACCCTCCTGCTTGAGCAGGGTCAGCTAGAGCAGGTTGCCCAGGACTGTCCAGTTGGGTTTTGAATATCTCCAAGGATGGAGCCTCCACAACTTCTCTGGGCAACCTGTTCCAGTGTTTAACAACCCTCATGTTAAAGTGTTTTCTTATGTTCAGATTAAATTATCTGTTTTTCAGTTTGTGCCATTGCCTCTTGCCCTGTCACTGGGCACCACTGAAAAGAGTCTGATTCCATCTTCGTTATGCCCATCCATCAGATATTTGTAAACATTGATAAGCTCACCCCCTGCAAACCTCCTCTTCTCCAGGCTAAGCAGTCCTAGCTCTCTCAGCCTCTCATTGTATGACAGATCCTTCAATCCCTTAATTATCTTTGTGGCAACTGCTCCCAATTGCCGTGACCTTTTAAAGAAGATTGAGAGTGGTCTCGCAATGATATTGGCTAGCTCTCTCAGCGCTCGTGGATTCATCCTGTCAGGTCCCATGGACTTGTTCATGTGCAACTTGCTTAAGTATCCCTAACCTGATCCTTTTCCATTTAGGATAAGTCTTCCTTGCTCCAGACTTTCTCTCTGGTCTCAGGGCTCTGGGTTTCCTTGAAGGCTGGTCCTATCAGTAAAGACTGAGCTGAAGAAGGCAGCATTCAGTATCTCAGACTTTTCAGTCTCCTTTGTCACCCGGGCCCATGTCCCATTTAGCAGTGAGCCCACATTTTCGCCAACCTTCCTTTTGCTGTTTATGCTCTTGTCAGAGCCTGCCTTGTTTCCCTTCATGACCCACACCAGTTCAATTCCAGATGGGATTTGGCTTTCCTGATCCCATCCATGCATGCTCAGACAGTGTCTGTATATTCATCCTGGGTCTCCTGTCCCTGCTTCCCCTTCTTATACACACTTCCTTCTGGTTTAGTCAGGAGCTCCTTGTTTGTCTATGCAGCCCTCCTGCAGTCTTTGCTTGATTTCTGGCTTGTCAGGACAGACCATACTTGAGCTTGGAGAAGGGTATCCATGAATATCAGCCAGCTCTCTTGGGCTCCTCTTCTCTCCAGGACTGTATGCCATGGGACTCTTCCAAGCAGATTCCTGAAGAGGCCAAAGCCTGCTCTCCTGAAGTCCAGGGTGTGATCTTCTTTTTGCTCTGCCCCTTCCTCACAGGATCCTGAAATCCCCTGTCTCATGGTCAGTGCAGCCAAGACTGCCCCTGACTCTCTTGTCTTCAACTAGTCCTCCCTTGTTTGTAAGCAACGGGGTCTAGTAGAGTGGCTCCTCGATCACCTGCGTTAGAAAGTTGCCATCAGTGCACTCCAGAAACCTCCTGGATTGCTTGTGCCCTGCTGTGTTGTCCCTCCAGCAGATATCAGGGTGGTTAAAGTCCCACATTAGAACCAGAGCCTGCAAACATGAGGCTTCCAGTTATCTGAAGAAGGCTTCATCTACTTCTTCCCGATCAGGCAGTCTATAGCAATCACCCACTACATCACCCATGTTAGTCTGCCTGCTAGTCCTGACCCATAAGCTTTCAACTGGCTTATTACCTGTCCCCAGGCAGAGCTCTATGCATTTCAAATGCTCCCTTGCATAAAGGGCTACTTCCCTCCCCACCACCCTGGCCCATCCTTCCTGAGGAGCCTGCATCCACCCATAGCAGCACTCTAGTCATGTGAACTATCCCACCATGTGTCCATGATCCCAGTGAGATCACAGCCCTGTAATTGCATACAGACTTCTAATTCCTCTTATTTGTTCCCCATGCTGCTTGCATTAGTATACAGGTACTTCAGAGAAGCACCCAAGTGTGCTGATTTCCCAGCAAGTGCATGAGAGCTTTTCCCATATTGCTATCCCATAAGCACTTTCTTATTTACGTGCATACACTTTGGGTGATTCCACTACAGCCCTGTGTTGTTGATTACAATGTTCCTTCAGTTCACATCACCTCAGACCCTTTGTTTGCCAACCCTACCCACCGCTTCCTCACTTGATTGTTGGTCATTCTCTCCCTTCCCCATTGTTCCTAGTTTATAGCTTTTCTTGCCAGGTTGGTCAGCCAGTTGGCAAAGATACTTTTGCCACCCTTGATCAAGTGGAACCCATCTCTTCCAAGCAGTCATCAATCCTCGAAGGGTCTCATGCTCACAGAAACCAAAACTCTGTTGCTGACACCAGCTGTACAACCAACTGTTGTCCCGCAGGATCTGTCCAGTCCTCCTCAAGCCCTTCTCCCTTACAGCATCAAGGAAACGCTGTCTGTGCCCCCTTGCCCTTTACCATTGCCTTCAGAGCCAGTTAGTCATACTTGATACTTTCCAGGTCTCCCTTGGTAGTCGGTGTTGGTAGTTGGTCGTTGGTGTCCACGTGAAAGAGCAGCAGGGGTTAATAGTCCCAAGGGCTGGACTAGCCTCGGCAGCCTCTCCGTAGTGTCCCATATGCAAGCTCCCGGTAAGCAGCAAAACTCCCTGCATGACAGCTCAGGTCGGCAAGCGGGGGCCTCCATCCCCTGCAGCAGGGAGTCTCCCACTGCCGATACTCGCTGCTTCCTTCAGGTGCTCCTGTGTGGCTGAGGCTCAGCTGGTGCAGATGCTCCATTTGATCATGCTCCCCAGCTGCTCATCAGCTGCAAGGGTAGTGAACCTTTTCCAAACTGCAAATCTTCCAATGGAGCAGGAGCCCCTCTCCCCCCGGTGCCAGAAGTAAAGCTCTCCCAGCCTTTGCCATCATTGAAATTTCCACTTTCCAAACGGATAGGCACAGATTCTACATGCCCCTGCGTCGCAGTTGGAGGTTTGGGCTCTTGAAACTGCAGGTTTCAGAGAAGATGGAGTCAGTCTCTTTCTCATCTTCTCTGATGCTGCACAGTCTGCTGGCCTCCCACAGCTCCTTCACTTGGTGAAGCTCTTCAACAACGGCACACCTCCTGCAGGCTAGGAGAACGTTTGCCCCTGCCTCAGCAAGAGGCCCCAGGCATTCCCTGCAGCCTAACACTTACAGAACTTCATCTTCCGACTGTAGCTCTGTCAGGGTCAAAGCCTCTGACATTGCAGGGACAGTTGCTCCAGTGGCTGCTGGGGACTGTGCCATACCATCACCACCATAGCTGAGGATGCGTGTGCTGATCTGAGCAGAGTTGCTGGTCCCTTCTTTGTGCTGTTCAGCCTGAACTGCTGTGCAAACTGCTGCTTCTCTTCGCTGTCTCTGTTAGCTGCACTCTCGTAATTATTGTAATTCCTTTTGTGTGCAATCTTTTCCTTTCAGCTTCTAGCAACAGTAGATGCACGTGCCATCCTTTATAGTGTGGGAGCAACAGAGCAAGCTGCATACTTGCAGATTGGCTTTCTGGTTCCATGACATAATTATTTGTTACATTATTTCTAAACTTAGCAGGGAGAGAGGATTTTACAAGAGAACTAGCATGCTTTCTGTTCCACAGAACAGTATTTTATATGCAAAGCTACTCTTTATATAAGGTTATAATATTTCTACCTTTGATTCATAAAGAGCCCTCGTATGGAACAGATCTGTCATCTGCATCAGTGTTTGACTGGTTGGTCTAATTGAGCTAGAATTCCCTGGTTAGCCATTCTTTGTATGGTGGCCAGCAGAAGAGAATATTTTGGGGCACTTAGTGTTTTCTACCCACCCTTGAGAGTACTACTCTCTGCCATCCTAACCTAAACTGTGGCTTAATAATGGAATTCTTCCCAAAAACTTTGTGTAAAAGCTAGATTGATTCGGAAACTGAACAGCTATCTTTTGTGTGGTGGGGTCCAAAGACAGCTGAGAACCAGACTTTGCAGATGACTAGTAAGCACCAGGAGGTGGAAATGTGAAAGTTACACCCACTTTTTTATTTTTAGACTATTTTTGCATTTTAGCTTCAAGCTATGGCCATAAATTTCCTGGCAGCAGTTCTGACTCATCAGTTTTTTATCCTTTGTTATTTGGACATCCTGCAGTCAAGGGATTCCTGAAAGGCCCGATCCTTTCTTTGTCACTTGTGAATGAGCTGCTGCTTTGGAAGCTAATTTTTACCAAGTTAATGGGTTCTTATTTGGAATGGTCAGGTAAATGTCCCTGGAGTCTGGCAGCTATGTCTCCAGCTAGTTGTTAAAATCTAAGAAGTAATGGCTGATGCATTTGCCATAGTGGTTTTTGAATGTGCTATTTCAAATGGTCTGTCTACTTATTTCTGCCTTCCCCAGACCACTTGCAGGATTAAGGAAGCTGTTATAAACTGCCTTGCTTAGGCTTGAAGAAACTTGTGGTTATTCTGTGAATCCATGTGAATCAATATATCAGAATTTCTGAGGTGGCACACAGTCAAAGTGCATCTACTCAGAGAATGACTGGATGCGTCAAACACTGCATGCAGACTATTCTGACTGGATGTCTGAGTACCAGAAGGCATCTGCTTTGGGAGGCCGAGATGTTGCAGCCTCTCTGTGCTTCTGATAAACCTCTCTCTTGGAGATGGACAAGACTGCTACTGTACTGGACCCTTGTACAATATTACTTTTCCTTGACAGCAAAATCTGAAATGTGATCCTAGTAGGTTTACTTTCAGGTTTTTTTACCTGACTTGCCCTGCTAGGAGGCCTTTGCTGATCACTCTCCCAACAGTTAAGATATGCAGAGGCAACCCTTTAAGTAGGGGGAGAGACAGCTGATCTGTGACCTCTAGCTGGATGCTCAGTGCAGTCGTTGTTCACCTCCTCTACAGATTCTTGCAGCTGCAGGCACAGAAGGATTAAACAGGAGAGACCTGTGTTGCAACACCTGCTTGCGCAATCGCTGGTCATTAACATGCCTGTGTTTCTGTGAATTTCTCTCAGCCTGAGAACTATTGGAAAGAATGATGCATCTTTACCTATAAAAGTCAAGCTCTTCCTTCCTGATGCCTTTCCTGCTTGTTTTGCGGAAATCTAAGGAAGAATAAGGAACTCACAGGAGCTTGAACTTAGGCTGCTTGCCTCACAGCTGTGTTACAAGGGGGATCGTTCAGCTGCTACCTGCTGTTTCTGAGCTTTTCTGAAGCTGAGCCTCCTCTCCTGCTACCTGACCTTGTCAGGGTCTGGCTGTGGGGGAATGGTTCGGGTATGACTTCCTATGCTTAGGCTTAAAGGAAAGGCTAGCAGGGCAGAGCTCCTATTATAGCACTGTCACTATGCCTGCCAGAATTGTCTTTGTGTCAGTTTAAAAAAATGCCTTGATATGCCTGTTTGGAAGAGGGGATTGCTGCAGCTTGCTTTGGCTGTGTAAAGCAATGCTTTGGAGTATGGCACGTTTTTCTGGGCAGGAGCCAGTGAATCCTTTTGGATTATCTGGAATAGTGTGTGTGCATCTGGCTTAAGAAGCCAAGGAATGTTTCAAAGTCTTTCTTTGCCTCCAAGAGCACTTCAAAAGGGGGAGTAGAATCCCTCCTTTCTTTTGGAGCAACAGAGGTGGTGTGTTGCCAATGGGGAAGACAGCTTTGTGCAAAGCTAAGGGAAATAAGGGATGCTTATTTTTAAATCTCTAAGAATTGAATATAGGAAAAAATATTCAGTGCACATTTTTATTTCTATCAAATGTTGCTAATTTTTAAAATCCGAATGGCTAATATGCTGTTATGTTTTTTAGGATGTATGTCAGTTTGTTTACTTTGGCTACCACGATCTCCTAGGAGAGTTCATACTAGGCAATTGCCATAGAATCATGCCTGTAAAGTCTCCTCAGGTTTGAGGGCATTAACAAAATGCCTCTGTCTAGTGTAGGAGAACAGAAACACTGGGGTGTCCTTATCTTAATGGTTAATGGCACAAAATTGCTCAAGATAGCAAGTGAATGAAAATCTTCTGTTCTGTTGTTTGTCTGCCAGTAAATGAGTTTTTTTGATTTTTTTTGTTTAAACCATGGAAAGGTGATTATGGGTGTCATGCTGGATGCTGATTGACAGTTTTATTTGCATTCTAAGAGATTCCAGTTCATCCTGAGACTGTAGTGAGCTTTGCTTTAAGGCATTGGTAGGAAAGTTTCTAAGACTTGTGTATCAGTCACCCTGCAGGCAAAATTTCTTTGCCTCTTTGTCTAAGAGGACGTACATGCTAGTCTATCCTGTAAAAAGCTACCAGCAGTGTTTACAGTGGTGGTGTAGCTTAAGTTCAGTATATATGAAACAGTTCTTTGAGCTGCTCTCCATTGTTCCAAGAAACAGGTACCATCAGCTTAAGCTGGGCTTGCACGTGTATAACTTAAAGCTCAGGATCTGTGGTTTTTCTCCAAAGAGGATCTATCTAAAAATCATCTTTGTAGAAAAGGAACTGGGGGTCCTGATAAAACAACAAATGAGCATGAGTCAGCAGTGTGTCCTTATACCAAAGGCGGCCAACAGCATACTTTGCTGGATTAGCAAGAGTGCAGCTAGCAGGTCAAGGGAAGTGATTCTTCCCCTCTATTCAGCATTCGTGAGAATGCATCTGGAGTACTGTTATCCTGTCTTGGGCTCCCTAGGACAAGAAAGATGTGTTCACATGGGCATAAACCCCGTGAAGGGCAATGGGAGAGGTGGGTAGGAGGCTGGAGCACATGACTGAGAGAACAGGGTTTGTTCAATTTTAAGAACAGAAGCTGAATAGGGGGTGTAGGTCTTAATGACAGAAACAGACTCTTCTCAAAGGTACACAGTGATAGGATGAGAAGCAACAGTTGCAGCATGGGAAATTCCGGTTAGCTAGAAGGAAAAAAATTTTCACCTTGACCGTAGCTGAATGTTGGAACAGGGGCCCAGAGAAATTGTGAAGTCTCCATTCTTGGAGATAGTCAAAACTTGACTGGACAAAGTCCTGAGCAATCTCATCTAAGTTGGCCCTGCCCTGTTGGGAAAGAGACCTCCAGAAGTCCTTTCCAAACTGAATCATGCTGTGATGGTGTATTTTAGGTAGGCTCTTTTTAACAGTGGTAGGTAGGCTCTTTTTAACAGTGGTAGGTAGGCTCTTTTTAACAGTGGTAGCAGTTTCACTATTCTAGTTAAATACAAATAGGCACTATGTCAGTTTTTTGCCTGGATAGACAAGGTGGAGCAAAATCAGCCTGCTTGTTCCTGGAAGCCTTTTGAAATGTAGGAAGTACGTTGTTTTTAGCAGTTCATATTCTCAGTACAGAATGTAATATCAGACAATCTAAATGGAGTTTATAGCCAATCAATAGTTTTGTCTTGCTCATAATTGCTTTCCTCAGTTGAAAGGGTTCTGTTCCAAATGCCCAGCAGTTCCTCTCAATATCACATATCAATATTCAAGTCACTCTAAGGATTGCTGTGTCTGAGAAAAGTGAAGACGAGCACTTGCTAAAGTGACCAGTTCTAGGTTGCTCTCTTGTGCTTGAGTGGTACTATCTTGCATGCCGTATTCCTTGCCGTAGAGCAAGCTCCATGCTGTATGTGCATCTGGTTTTTATAAGTAGATAGTTCACAGAACACTTGGACCTACCCTGGAATAGAAAGGCAGGAACAAGTGGATGTGAAATTGGGCGGCAGCTTGTGAAAGAAAGCCCTCGGGTCACATTCCTTTCTTTAGTGCTTGACACAGTAATTGATCCCCATTTGCTGATGAACAGATTCAACACTGAAATTTATTGGAGACAGGCAGCCATTTTTCCTTTCCAGCATCCTACAGAAGAAGGAGCTTTTCAAAGAGAAAGGACAGGAGAGCAGAGTAATGATGTCCTGCAATTTGCATATCAGTGATTGAGCGTTTTTGGCATTTCTGATGTGAATGTGTCAGGTGTGCTGACCAGAGGACATCAAGACATTTCTCCTATGTCAGGATGGGAAAGCCAAGTGAAATAAACCCCCCAAAGGTGTTAGGAGCTTTTCCAGTGCTGACTGTTGGGCTACCTGTTGTGCATTTGGCTCTACTGAATTTAAAGTAGGGAATACTGCCTCCCCGTGCTCCCCTGGCATCATTTTCTTCCTGAGACTGTCTCCAAAGTGGGCAGTTTTTTCCTTGTTCTCCCACTAACCCCGCTTTTCTGTAGTTGCATGCAGTGGAGATGTAATACTAACACCTTCCATGCCTTTCCAGGGTCACAATGCACCGGGCTGTTCAGCACCACTGTGCTGGGAGGCTCCTCCAGTGCCCCCAACCTCCAGGACTACGCCCGCAGCCATGGCAAAAAGTTTGCCAGCAGCCTGACATACAAAGACGGTATGTGTGTTCTCTCTGCAGCAGATGGTTAATTTGTGGACTCTGGTGCTTCAAGATGCTACTGAGGCAAAGACTTAGACTGCAAAGAGGAGTAATATAATTTAATGTGTATGTTCATCAGATTTATGGTGATGCATTTTATCATGTCCCAAGAAATCATTATCCTTTTGCATCAATCAGATCCTCGCTAGGACAAGACAGGAGCTGACACTGCGTGAGGAGTTCTATACTGATGCATGGTATTGCTGGTGTCTGATTTTGCTCTGATATTTTAATAATACTTGCTGTTGTGCAGGAGGAATCGTTATTCTAGATGTTCCATAGGTTTGTCCTGGTACAGAAATCCAGCACATGGAATCATCTTGCTTATCTTGGTGATTTTGCAGATGCTGAACTAAGCTTTTGTGGAGACAGTAATTCCCACCCTAGAGGAGATGAGGCAGCACCATTGGCAGAATGATATGCTTGGCAGGGGTTATTTAAGTACTAGGTAAGGCTGGGCACTGCTGTAGAAGAGTCCGAGATAGTTGCCAGAAAGCAAGTATATATGCCTGACATGCTTGACATAAATGGGATGCTTGGAGGAAGTACGGCAAAAGGACTGTAAGGTCTAGTTGCTGTGACTAGTTCTGCAGAAACGGCTTTAAATTTCATCAAGACAGTCTGGTAAAATGTACTTTGATTATTAGTATAAATGTTGCCCCATGCTCATGAGTGAAGGGGTATTACCAGCTGAGGACTGATCAGTAGTCAGCCTTAGTGTGGTACGCTTTGAGAAGCAGAGAGTCCATCCCTATCCTCAAAGAAGTTGGAGCATAGAGCATAGAAAAGACTGAGGTGTTCTGGAGGAGTTGGAGTGTAATGCACCAGAGTAAGTGTTCCTTATTATCCCAGAAGGAAAGGCGCTCAGACTCCATAAGGTATTGATTAAAATACTATTTCCTGGAGCTAACACAAGAAGGAAAAAAGAGGATAGATAATCTTATGTTCCTTCAGATGAGCTGTGCAGCACTGGATGGACATCCAGTCGGGGCATGGCATGCTGTACAGACTCTGTCCATGGAGAGGCTTATTTGATGCTGCACAATGCGGGTTCCCAGCATCTGAAGAGATGTGAGATGATCTGTCGTCTTTTTTCCTTCTTGTGTTAGCTCTTCTAATAAACGGTATCTAATTAATACCTTATGGAGTCCGAGTGCCTTTATTTCTTGGATCATAAGGAGCACCTTCACTATTGCATTAGAAGGTGGGGGATGATTAGGGTAGTAGTTTGTGGCCTTTGAGGGAAACAGGGTTGGTTCCTTTGGATTTCTTTCCAGTTTTGAGGCAAGGAAAATGGCCTAGCAAATCAGGGTGGAAAGACGCTATTCAATTCTCAGACCTGTTGAGACTTCACTAAATACCCTTCTATTTAGACTATTATTCTTCCCTGTGTAAGAGAGAAAATTGTGTTGCTTCTCACCTCTTCAGGGAACTCTAGCATGCAACAGGCTGTGAGTGATAGAGGGGCAGGTGAACTGGAAGATTTAAAACCCTGCTGTACCAGTTCTGAGCTGCTCAAGACAGCAAGTGCTGGCTACTCGCAGGTCCTGGAATCAGCTCATGGTGTTTGGCATGAGATGGGGGTGTGAATACCAGGAGAGGTACTCAAAAGACCAGCTAGTGCTCTGGCTGCTTTTCTTCCACAATTCTGCAAGCAGTCTGAATCCAAAGGCAGCACTAATTCTCAAGGAAAACTGTCAGAGATGGCTAGCTAGATGGCACTCGGCTGGGAACAGAACTGATTCTGCTCAGTCCTGGTGTTGTGCCACCTGTCTGTGTAGGCAGTGTAGTAGGAGTCTGCCTACAACTGGCTACTTGTAGTCAAGGTCTGGAGCAGAGTCCTGCTGGTTTAGCCTAAATTCTGTGACAAGGTGTCTGCATGCTGTGACACAGCTTTAGCCTCAAGTACTTGAAAGGTAGACTTAATTAATGTGTGACTAACATAACCTGGAATTATTCATCTTGGTATTACACTTAGTTTTTCATGTTTCTCAGTGTGCAGCTGCACGCTTTGCTACCAGTGCCTTGCTGCAGTCATAGCAATTATGAGGAAGAAGCTGGAGGCTTGGGAGAACGAGTAGGAGGCAGAGGAGCATTTGGTTTCTGGGGAAGGTAGTTTGAATATGAAATAAGCAGCTGAACTGAGCATTCCTGCTTAAACTAGCAGCAAATGATGAGCATTGGCAATTAGGCCAAAAGTCATTAGAGTTGAAAGCAGTGACGCTGCAGCTCCAGCAGACTTCACTCTCTCGGAGTACATCTGTATCGAGGCCTTTTTCATAGCCGCCAGGCTAATAATGTTTAAAAACCCTCAGATTCTGGAGCATGTTTTCACATGAATTCTTTGGCCTTTTTTCATGGCTGCGTTACTTCAAGGTGTGGTGCATGGCTTACAGCACTTCGTCAACTGTTTGCTCAGTGAAGTTAAATTACCTTAAGTTTTTTTACTTAGGGCTGGAAGAGGGCTAAGGAACGCTTCAGTGGTGAGTTGTGTCTCAACTTGGGGTGAGACTGCTACTGCTGATGCTTCATTGAAGTTGGTTTGTCTACCCAGTAACCTGTATCTCAGCACCATCTAAATTGACACTCTGATAAAGGCAAGAGGGAGATTCAGGGTGGAATGGAGATGGTTACTACCAGTTGACTGACTGCAAGGTGATGACTCAAACGCTTCTTGGAGGATGCATATGTATGGAAGATTGCTATGCTATATTTATTGAGTTTAAACAGAGAAAATCAATGTTTAGGGCTATTATCCTGGCAAGGGTAATTGCAGCAGCTTTGAGCCTTGGTTTAAATACGTTATTGAGGCCAGACAGTGGGGTTTTATTGGATGTAGCTACAGAAGCACAATGAGGGGGTGACAGTATAAATTGCATGTAACATTTATTCTTGGTGTACAGGAATAGCCATGCAGCTTTTATTTACTAGGTAAAATGGATGCATGAAAACTATGAAGGAGAAATGAAAACATCCTTTGTTCCTAAGTAGCAGCAAAAGGTGTAATTGACTGGGTTCTCACACCAAGTCCTGCATGCAGAGAGTCTGATCTAGGCCATTCTTTCCCATGATAGCTGAGGAGTTTCCAGAGTGGGAATAAACTGAAGTTTTTGACTTTTTCTAGCATAGAGAGACTAATCCCTGTCTTTTAAAACTCATCTGTTTGTGCTCCATCAGATACCTAGAGTCTGTTCTGGAGAGCTTGGCCTGGACCATGGCCAAGACAAGCCTGAGGATGTATTCCAAAACCTTTGCTATATTTAAATGCATTGAGCAACAGGAAGGTAGAGATATGTTTTCATGGGTCTTCTGTTTGTTCCCAAATCAGTTAGCTGATTTAGCTTTTTAATTCATAAATAGCTCTGTTTAACTTACATTAAGAGGCTGTTTTGAGCTGCACTTACTTGTCCTGGGGACCTTCAAGTCCTCTGTACAAAACTGTCTTGGTTTTCCTTAGAGGTGAATTCCCAAAAACTATATTCATATGGTGCTGTTGCTTGCTCGGCCTTCTGTTCTCATGGCTGTAATTATGGCCTAATCGCATCTTTCACTGGACTGAGCCTGGGGGCCGAGCACATCTGGGTTACTGCAAGTGTGCTGGGAGGGTAGGATGTATTTATTGTCTGTGACTGAGGGAGTATGTCTGAGCGTTTTTGCAGCGTCGAGGGAGTCAATGGTAGGAAACGTAATGAAAGTGGGGAGCAGGCAGGAGTGTGAAGAGCCTAAGAGGTTCAGTCAAACATGGAGACAAAGTGTGAGGGCTGCTGTGGCAGTGCCAATGAGAGTATGTGTTACATGGGTCAAGTAGAGGGTGAACTTCAAAGGCTAGCTGCTAGCATGTGAAGCTTAGGGGATCCTTAGAAACAGGCTGTTAACTGAGATGATCTGTTTTTATTTCCTCAGAGCTCTTGTCTATGCCAGCCGTAAAACGATTTTCTGTGTCGTTTGCAAAGCATCCGACTAATGGTACGTTTGCTTCCTTGATTTGACGTTCCCTCGCACTTCTAACCCCATGCTCACATTCAGTTCTCCCTTCTGCACATATCCTCCTCCTTTCAGCCTTCTTGTGGGTTGTTTTGTTTTGTTTTTTTGCGCGTTTGTGTATCTGGTATCCAAACGTGTTTCCCTTTCCCCTTGTCTCATTGTGACTAACTTGTTCACTCATCCTCTGTTACCGCTCAGCGGGGCCTGTGCTGTCTGTGGGATATCTGCCACACTGTTTCCCCAGAGGCATTTGTGTCCCAGGTGAAAAAGAAAGAGCAGTAGCTCTGTAAATGGCTCCTAAAGCAGCCTTTAATTCCATTGCTGACATTAAAGCGTTCCCTCATGCTCCCTTGGAGGGGGGAAGAATTTCACTGGACTTGAGGTATGGGGGTGGGCATCTGCTCTATATCCCAAGAGCAACCGCAGCTTAGGGTCTGTTTCTGCAATGCAGATTTGCAAGACTGAAACAAGGATAGCCTGGGGCTACACATGTCTCCTGGAAGAGCGCAGTCTAGAGTGGGAGAAAAGGAAATGCTAACAGCATTCCCTCTAAGCATGCTGTTCCTCAGCACAGTGGTCTTAGGAGTACTGGTAACTTCATGGCCTCCTATCTGCAATCCTGTTTGTTAGGGTAGTCCCTTGATTACTCTAAGGATGGTGGGAGTGGTCTCCCCTTTCCTACATGTCATCCCTAAGAATGACATCTCTCCAAAACTTTCACTCATCTGCTGTCAGTGGAAAAAGCTGGCTTGGGCCCTCTTGGCTTCCTGAACTAAAAGGGGAAGGAACATGCATCAGCAATGTGCTCCCTAGGGTGGTGTAACCTCCTTTGCTCCTGTCATGCTAGTAAGTACCTTTGAAAAGGCTCAGTAAAGAAGGATGTCTGATAGTGCTTATGTGCACTCACAAGCTCTGCTTCATGTTGCTACTAACCTAACACCTGAACTGTGAGTCTTCTGAGGTTACAAAGACAACTAGCTTTGTTGTAGCAGATGACTTGAGCTAGTATTTATTATTTAAGCCTATATAGAAGAACTTTTGCAAAAGGTTGGTTTCACAGCACTACCCCTACACATACCTCATGGCTTCTGCTGTTGAGACAAGTTAGGACCAAAGCAGACTGCTGAAAGAGATCAGGTTAAATGTTTCTGTCTTATGTGATAAAGGCTCTTTCTGGGATCTTGATGCTTAGTAAATCTGAAGAAATTCTGCTCTGTGTGACCTGGAAGATGAAGAAATTCAGAATACTGTTACAAAAGACCAAAGTTTTGGGAAAGGGGAAAGGGCAGCTAAATGTGGCTTTATTGTTCAAATATCTGAATGGAGCTTGTTTTCTGTGTTTCCTTAGTTTTGCTTTTCCCAGAGTGATCAGCTGCTCAGTTTGTTTTGTATGTCTGAAAACTGTTTGAGCACCCATGGTGTGTGTTAGCAGGGTGTGTCATTCTATTTTGCCAACAAAGCTTGTGCCAAGCACTGGTCTTTCCTAAGCCACTCTGTAAAGCAGCTGATTTCTCCTCCCCACCCCCTCCCCGCCCCTGAAATCTAATAAAAGGAAACTAGGCATCAGGTTTTTCCTAAGAACCTAATGAATATTTCTAATTGAAAGTGTTTGTTAATCAATAAAACTAAGAAAAAGTCCAGCAAGTGTGAGCTTGAAGTTAGGTATGTTTGGTCTAGGCTTGGCAACTGCTTTTAACAGAAAGAATATTTAGCCACGTGAGCCACTCACCTAAGGGTGCAAAAATGTATTCATATCTCTGAATCTGGGTTTTGTTTCTAAAGAGCTATCTCTACTTGGTGAGATGTTATGGATGAACCAGAGCAGTTACCAGGCAGGAGGTCAGACCAAGTAGATAATGACCTGGTCCCATGAGTCTTGAGGCCCTAAACGTGGGGGAAGAGATGGGCCTGCCTACTAGTATCTTGTCTGCCGTGCAGTACCAAGGACATCTCAACAGACGGTACAGGGCTGCTCTGACAGTCTAGAAAAGGGAAGTCAGCGCTTCTGTGCCCGCTCTTTTTCTTCCAGAATCTCTAGGCGCTATGTTCTCATGCAAAGCCTGCTATCGCCCAGCTGCCCTTTCACGTTCTCCAGGCATGCAGTGCCAGCTCGTTTGTTCTTGTCCATGTGCTGAAGTGACTGACTGCATTTGGATGAAGGACTGTAACATTGTTGTTGGTCTGAATTTCTTGTTTCATTTTGAGGAGGGTTAGGCTGGAGGTGACTTTCTCAGGTAGCTGAACCTGAACTGTGTTGGACTTGGAATGTGTCCTAAGATTTATTCGCTTGTCAGATTTTCACTTACAAACATAAAGTCTCACGACTCAGCTTGTGGTGGGGTTGACCGTGGTTTGCAGCTGTGTTTGGCAGAGGCTGACCAAGATGGGAGTCCAGCCTGCTGCCTAAAGATTTGGGGTATGTAGAACTAAGAGGGAGGGACTAGGCTTCAGTGTGTGGGGTGGGTCTTCTCCTACCCAGCAGCCCTAGTGCTGGCAGCTCTATTCCCTGCATCTTCATATTTTTTTCTATTTCCCAGCTTCACCTCCCACTCTCCTCTCACTTTTTATGGCCCGCTTTCCTCCAGATGCGTTTGAGCACCACCACGTTACCCAGTTGCTGCGCCGTTTTTCTTCCGACTATGCCACGAGCCGGAACATCTCCCTGGATGCTACTCTAGCCCATCACCTCCAGCAGTGCTCCTACCACCTGCGCCTCTTCAGGAGCTGGCTGATCTCAGGGCAGGATGACTTGGAGTGTCTTTACGGTACTGCACGCTGCAGCTGCCTTGGTCCCATGCCCTTGTAGCTGAGCAGGGACCACTGTCTGCTTGAGAATGCAAAGTATGCTTTGCTTCTAAGAAAGGAAAGCATTTCCTTCTCCACATCCCTCAAATCTCTGGGCTGCTCCTGCAGCAAGGTGCATGGGCTGTTGCACCAGGCAGTTTTGGAGCTATACAAAGAAGCTTTTCAACACGGAGTCAGTGTTCTGTGTGTAGCTGTAACTGCTCTTTCTGTCCTTGGCAATTGTATGTTGCCTCCTTCCTCCAGCCAGGGCAAGCCCTTAAGATTTTTTTGTGTGTCCTCATCTGAAATGATGAGCTCTGACCTGTGTGATGCTCTGCTGACACGATAACCCTTTGCAGGTCCTCGAAGGGTGCTTCTTGGTGTCCCTGTGGTTATCAAGGGAGGAACCAAAGTAGATAGTAAGAGTATGAGAAGAATGAAGTTTAAGGAGGCACCGCAGCTGGTCACGTGTCGGTGATCTTGCTGTGGAAATTTAGGGGAAGTGGTGGCTTGTGGGATCGTGTTGTTTCTAGAGAGAGCAACTTATGGTAGAAATTGAGCTTCTGTATGTCTGCATTGCATGGCATCTGTTTTGCCTGTTAGGACTTCTGCAGTGTGTCGTGTCTGTGGTGGGAAGAGGTAGGTGATTTCAGTATTGGATCTGGATGTTAAAGATCACTGTTGTTTCTGTGGTATTTCTCAGCCTCTGGCATGGGTGGGAGGTCTGGTGCATTGAGGTTTCAGTGCTTCTAAGACGAATAGAAAAATTTATTTTTGTGAAGGGTAGCTAGCTAGGGCTGGCTGTTAATGTTCACCTTGCACCATAAAACCTGCTTGGTGCATGTGGCTTGCTGAACTGTGTGGTGTGATGCATGGATCTCCTTTTTCATGCAGACCCATAGGTGGAAGGGATAGACACAGAAGAGTTTAGTTTTTCATCCAGCAAAGAAACAAGATCAAGCATTTTCAGAGCCTGGAGAAGAGAATTTTTCTTATACAGTCTGTTTTTTCTCAATATAGCTCTTTCTGTCAAGCAGGGAACTTGGAGATGGCAACTGCTTTTCAAATATAATTAGGATAATCCTTGGTCTCCTAGCAACTAATACAAAAGTGGAACAAAATCACTTCAAGGGGAGTGATACTGGAACAAAATGGACTACTCCCAAGCCAAAGCTGAGCTTGCCCTGCTGCAGATGTCAACCATTCTTGTGTGAGCTCTCAGAGAGAGAAGAAATGAATCCAGCACTTTGGGCACTGGCATTCCAAGTATTGCAGCGTGATGCTGGCTTATGGAGCCCATCTTAATGCAGCCAAGCTTGTAAGCTACATACAGCAGCTTTCAGTAGCTTCCCTGTGTGGAAGTCAGTTCTCTACAATCAGTAAGTGAAGTTCGTTCTTGCCGTTTTCTCAGTCTGACTGAAGCTGACAGTCTTACTTCCCTCCATGTAAAAACTGGGTACTCCTATCCTCTCTTTCCTGTCTTTCAATCCTACTTCTGTCCATGCAAAGAAAACATGAAGTAAAAGACTGGGACAGGAGTTAGAAGTATGTGGTTTCTATCCATAGTTAGAAAGATCAGCACTGGAGCCCTGAAGAGATCTGTCTGGGAACCTATGCTCATCAGCATGTTCACTGTTTGGAAAAGGAAGAGTGTGAAGTGAGTTTATGTTGTTAATGAATTACAAGGTCCTGAAGGCAAAGGTCAGCTGTGGAGAAATAGAGAAGGACCTTGTAATTATGAGTGTCTGGACAGTAAAACAGCTGGTTACGTTCAGTGTAAGTAAATGTAAAATGGCAGGGGGAAACAGCCCCAAATTTGTATATAAAATGATGGGCTCTAAGCTTACCATCACCACTTGGGAAGATGTGGGTGAGGTAGAAATCTGCAGTCTGGGAAAGATGCCTGTGATAGTGGTCTGAACCTGAGTGGCCTGGAGATGGGTAATGGGGATCTATCTAATGTTCCAGTACAAGAAATAGGAGATTTCAAATGGAACAAGTAGGAGGCAGGTTCAGACTGTGACTTTTTTCACACATTGAGGGACCTCCTCACCACAGCACATGAGAGACGTTGAAAGCTTACTTGAGTTCAAAGGGAGACTGAAGAATCTCATGAAAGAGATGCATCAAGTTCAGGGCAGCTCTGAGCTGCAAGTCACTGGAGTCTGGGGGAGTGTTTAGGGGAAGAATCACCATACATGATCTCTAGACTAATATTCTTTCCTGCGTATCTGCTTTTTGGCACTTTGGGCAGAGAGGTGCTGAACTAGAATAGACCTTCAGTCTGACCATTCAGATGTTTTGAGGGCTGGTCATCAAAAATCTGTTTTGTGTGCATATCACGTACACATGTGTAAGCTCACATTAAAATACATGTTGGCATGTTGGAGCTCTCCCAAAGGCTGGACTGACCACGCGTATTGGAGAACTTGCTTTCTCCCACACCCTTCAGAATCTGTGTCGAGACTAGATAAGTGCTGTCTTTACTCCAAAATAGCTGATATGGTATTGGTGTACAAACCTTTTTGGGAGGTATCAGGTCCCTTTGGTCTGCCTTTTGCTTTCAGAATGTCTGTCACAAAGGAATGGGCACCTTCTCCACTCCAACATGGAGTTCACAGTTGGAGAGCTGGGTAGTAACTTGATAACTTCTGATAGTCAAGTTGTGTGTGCTGGTGTTCAGAACTCTTAGACAAAAATATGATACACAAAAAGGATTGTTTTGAACCAAATTATTTCTCATCTGAGTTCTCCTTGGCCTCAATCTTTGTCTGTTGGCTGACTGTAGTTAATCTTGGGGCTGCTTCAGTTATTGCTCTTGTTCGGTGTAGCTGCTTTGTACTTAGCCTGTTGGAGCAGTAAGTGCATTCTTTCTTTTAACTATGTCATTCTGCTAGTACAAAAGTTTACCATATGAGGGACCTCCGATCAGTATTAGTAAAGCTAAGGAATTGACTGTTGGACTACTTGAAGATTGCTCCTTTGTCATGCCTCCTGTAAAAGAATACAGTTGTCTCCTAGAGGAGTTACTGAGTTATCAACTCTGAGAGATAATCACACCCCTGTGGATTTCATTCTGGGGGACATGTGATCCATATAAACATAACTTTCCCAACTCATACTGCACGGGAAACTTTTTTTTCTGATCTCCTTAGGGCATGCATAGAACTTAGGAAGCTCATGTGTTACCTTGATTCAAATTAGATGCTTCCATTGAATTAAATTATATTGATTTCCTCTGGAAGGTTTACACTGTTGTTTGTTCTTCTAGACTGGCACATCTCCTGTGTAAAATAATAGCAATCAAGAAGATGCTAGTGCATTCAAGGTCAAGGGTTTTCTCCCTTGTTCTTCCCTTTCTCCAATGTAAAATCTGCTTATTTTAGTTCTGCTGCTAAAAACTGTAGATGAATTTACTTTCAGACTTTGAGGCGAATCAGAATAGATTCTCCAACAGTGCTCAGCAATATATGCAAATGTCAGGAACATGAAACTTTGGGGAGAAGAATCAGAACCAAAATGTAGTTAAGTTGACTGTAATTTGGTCAGACCTTCAGCTTTAGCATCAGGGTGCCTGGGAGAGCTGAAGCAGGCTTTGTAAATCCTGTAGGCGGGTTATACCTCTGTACATTCTCATGTGCAGAATGGCTCTTCACGCAGTACTCTACTCCCTGCTATTGTGTCAGGATGACTCTGCATTACCGATTCAAAGCAGACACACACACCCCCTCACCCCCCCCCCCCCCCCCCCCCCCCCCCCACGCATCTGCTGCTTACATCACCTGTAGTCTCCTAGGACATCCAGAATAATACATGTTCAGCAGACTAATGTCTTGTGGGTCTTACGGTTTCTCTGTTACCAGATCTTGTTTGCTTGACTCTAACAGATGGTTTGTTTTTATTTCACTGAATAAAATTTTGGGAGACATAACCACGCTGTCCTCCTTGCCCAAAGAAGATAACAGTTAGAGTTTGGGATTCATTTTTAGCTACTCTGATCTGCTTACCTGCAGCCACATGCCTTTCCCTGAAGGCCAGGCCTAATTCTAGAGGGAGCATATTGCCCTTTGCATCCTTAATGCAGCTAGTGTAGTCAAACCCAAATGAAATAAGAAACTAGACTTGTACCTCTGTGGGCTGCTCTAAGACTCCTTGGTACAAAATGAATGGGACTCTGTTTAATTTCTTGTGCAGTTATCCACATCAGAGACTCCTGCTCTGCAGGCCCCATGAAAAGAGTTTCAGGAAGCATCAGCAATAGCTGAGCTGTCAGCACAGGGTTCCTGTTATGTTTTGCACTCACACTTTTTGTCTGTTGCTCTTTCCCTAAGATGTCATTTCTTTGTTAAGCATGTGTTGTGCAGCAGTGGTTAGATCCTTCACTGGGGACTCTGGCTGCTATGGTGATGCAAATAAGAATTATGGTCTAGGTCTAGAGCCGTAATTTCTTCCTTGGTTCTACTGTGGTGGCAAGAAACTGCCTTCGTTGGCCTCTCAGTAACAACTAAGCAGGCAAAGGGTGGTGTGCACAGAAGTGGGCTGCTGTATACAAACGCCAGGGCTTGCTTAGAAAATAGTAGTATTTCACCTTGAGAAGGGAAACTCTTGCCTTTTTCTCATCTTGCTTTGGACCAGTTATGGCACGCAGTGCTGAACAGAGCTGTGCTAGCAGACGTTTGGCACTTTTGAGATCTAGCTGCGTTGTTTCACATTAGTAGCGTTTTCAATGTCATGCTTCCTAACACTGGACCTTCGATTTCCTCTTTTTGGCTGTAGGAGTGTCCACGCACTCGGCTCCTTGTCATTGCTGCTAGTGCATCTTGGATCTACATTGCCTTGCCCAATGTGAAATTTAAACTTCTTCCCTTTTTCTTTGGAGACCCAGAGAGCTGAGCCAACTTTGGCCCATCTTAAACCAGATTCTGCTGTGAAATCACATTAGCCTCATATTCTGCTCCACAACCATCTGCACCCTGCTGTTCTTTCTCTCCTCCTTTTGCTTTAGATTGTCTCCTGGAATACCTATGTGAAAATAGTAAATACAGACTCTTGTTTATTCAGCCCTTCTGCTCAAGGGACTTCTCAGCAAGGGACAGCAGGAGCATGGTAGTTTTGCTGTAGCTTACATTCCTTCCTCATAGCCAAGGATTTGTTATCTTCATGTCTTGAATTAATGTTTGTAGGCTATTTGTGGCACAGGTAACCCTTCTGGACTGACTGAAGTGTTCTCTGTCTCCAGTAGCTGTTACAGCAGTGAATGTCCCTGCAGCACTGCACACTGATGTTCTGGTCTGTGGTTTCCTCATGTTGCATGTGGATTCACTTTAAATACCTTCTGTTGGCTTACCCTCTTTGCTTGTTGCAGAGCTGAGTTAGGTGAACGCATTGGAGCAGAGGCTACCCGTTGAAATCTGAAGGTGACTGGAACAATACTACCCTTAGGAGATAATCCAGGAACTCAAGTTCTTCTCCTTAGTAGGTGCTGTCAAGCTTCAGGGATCAATTTTAGCCTGGGAGTGTGCTGCGCTGCAGTCCTGATACAGCAATGCATCAAGAACTGTTGCACTTTTTGCATTTCAAAGTGACTTTCCTTACCTGTACGAACAAAACCAATTCCTTTCCAGGGTTTTTTGGAGAGAGAAAAATCCACTGAGGGAGCTTGGGCAGTCACAGAATGGGAAGCCTAGGCTTAAGAAGTTTAGAGGTCTTTAAATGCAAGAGGCAGAGCAGAAGGAGGCCTTACTGCCATATGTCCAATGACTCATCTCTCTCTTCCTTTCTCCTCTGACAGTTTCATGTTGGCTTGGTGCCACAGGGCATTGCCGAAGAGCTTGGATGAAGAGAAAGGTGCTTTGCTGTAGCGTTCTGTTGGCTTGAGTAGCAAAGAATTTCTAGTGAAGAATTGCGATGCAGCTTTGCTCTGAGCAAAAGAGCTCTGTCCATTAAGTACTGAGATATCGGTTTCTGCTAATTCTGGGCTTGTTGGTAAAGAAGTCTTGTTTAGGGGGCCAAATGATTCATGTTGTTCTCCATCCTCTGCTTTGGGGATAGTCTGTCAGGCTTATACTGGAAGGTCTGCTGTGAGAGAGAAAGGTTCTGCCACTCCCTGTGTTTGTAGCAGCGTGCTGCAGTTCACTGATGGGGAGAGGGTGGCCTGTGTCCCAGGCTGGAGTCACCAGCAGCGCCAGTCTTTTCATGGAAATTCTGCTGACTTCACCTAGGGGAGCTTCTGCAAACTGCGGGGCTCTGTGCTGAATTATCCACAATTACCAGATAGGTTAACAAAAAGGTCAGAGCCTTTGCAGAAAAAAGCTGCTGCTAGATATTTCCCTCCTCCTTCTCCTTTTGCGTGAGCCTGCACGCTTGCTTTCAGGTCTGTTATTGCATGTGATTGCCCATTGGCAATTTTCCCGACCCAGAAAAGGTGACCTTAGGCCTGAGTGTGCCTGTTGTTTGATTCCCAGGCTGTCCAGCTCCTTCAGCCGTGAATGGTCCTGCACGGGTTTAGGTTGCTGTTTGCTCTATTCATTTTTCTGATTGGGTCTCTTTCCAGGTTTTGAAGGCTGTTCCATGGTTCCCACCATTTATCCCCTGGAGACCCTGCACAACTCCCTCTCTTTGCGACAGGTCAATGAGTTCCTGACAGCTGTATGCAGGAGTTGCAGCGAATCACATGTCCAGTCTACTGCAGGTACTGATGAGGTGGGCTCATCTCTGGGTAAGGCAGAATAGAGTCAAGGCAAGGAGACAGTGCAGACGTTCTGCTCTTTTGTGTTATTGGGATAGATCAACTTGACAGGACTGGTAATAAGTACAATTTCTGGTACCCATTCCAGGGTGTTCTAGTTCAGGAGCGAGCTATGGGATCCTGCTCAGAACCATCCTGGGCCAGTTATTTGAGAGACAAGCAATCAGTCTTGTCTATCTGTGACTGATAAGTACAGTGACATAGATGCAAATTGCAGCTTGGGAAATTCCAGTCTCAGATCCCCACAGACTGAGGGGCAGGCATGGCTCTAAATTTGCCCTGTTCCTGAACTCTTTCCTGAGCAACTGTTAGTGGCTGCTGGGCTATGTGGTCTCTGTTTTGACCTAGTTGTGACCATTCCTTTGTTTCTGTGTGTGAATATTACTGATCTATGTTTTTTTCTTTTTTTCTTGAAGCTTTGTTTGATTCAATGATTGGCAGCCAGATACCAGGAGACCCCTTTATGTCTCAGCGAATCCTGTCATCATCCTCTTTCCCGTTACGCCAGCGTTCGGATAAACCCCCTTGGTGTGAGTGCGCTCTTTTATTGATCGGAAATGAACGTGATGGTGAGGGGGGGGAAGTAGAGGGTGCTGAAAGGTGAAAGGCAGGTATTGGTGCTCCGGGTTTCTAGGCTCTCCCCTTGAAGGGACAAACTGATTAGGAAAAGGCGGAGACAAAGGGGAAACGGGTGAAGGGGAAAGTAGTTGACTGCCCTGTTAGAGAGCTTCCAGAGAACAATGCAAAAACTGATTGTTTTATAGTACTGTACATCACTGGGACATCTGCTATTGGATGGTTGTTGTCTCTCCAAACATCCTCTGCTATGTGCATAGGACATGCAGGGACTAAATGCACTTTGTTTTCTTCTCAAGTTCTGTGATTCTCTATGACACATGGCCAACTTAGTTTCAGCATATGGAAATGCCTTCCCTTCCCTACCAACCATGTAGGTGCCTCACCCAGAACTCCATATAGGACAGCCTGTTCTCTGATTCCTCACTTCTATGCTTCTTTCTATAGCTTCTGAGCCTCACTTCCCACATTCTCTGCAGAGCTGATGACTGTTGTTTGCAGATATCTGATTGGGACTTGAAGGGCAGAGGGTTAGGAGACAGTTGTTCGGCAAGTGCCTTAACACAAATTTGGGTTGCCACTGAAAGAACAGTCCCACTCTTCTGGCTGTGCCTTTCCTTGTGCCAGGCTTAGGGTGTGTTCGTGTAGGCAGTAAGGTCAGGGAACTGATCTGGCTGAAAACATGTTTAATCCTCTGCCTTTGGATTAGATTTAACCTAGATCGGTTCTCTAGTCCAGCTTGTTGTGCAACATAAGGCAAGAGCAAGCATCAACAGAGAGGTAACACCCCTTCTTCTAGTGGCAATTCTAGCTCAACATTTAAGGATTGTATCTGTCAGAAACCAAGGGGAGCAAGATTGAAGCTGAGGCGTCCCATAATAATGAGGAAATGAAAGGAACTGCTTTTTCAGCTCGAAATCCTACATCACATTTCACATTTTGCTCTATGAGGCCAGCAGCATCACTCTTAGCTGTATGTCAACAGAGCAATGTATGTCAGGATGTAAATGTAGTGTCTGTGCTTGGGTTTCGATCAGCTGAGCTGCCAGAAGCACACCTAACAACAGCTGCAAGCTCCTGTCAGGGTACGTGGAACGTAGATGACCCTCCCTGCTTGCTTAGAGAGCTGTGGGACTGGGACAGTTTGGGTCTGCTCAGGCTTTGGGCTGTGAATATTAGCTAAATGTCTAAGATTTTTCTTCCTCTTTGCAGACAGCAGTGGCCCCTCCAGTACTGTCTCCAGTGCAGGCCCATCCTCCCCAACCTCTGTGGACAGCTGCACTCGTTTCAGCTTCACTGAGAAACTTTCCATCAGCCCCCCAAAAGGTGAGGAGCAGCTGAATAGCCTGTCTCCTGAGCAAGGGGAGAGACAGCCCTCAGATGGAGTGCTTAACTTGAAGCTAGGGATATCTGAGTTGTCCACGCATCAGCCCAGTGGGGAGCCAAGTGCCCCAGAGACCTTGATCTGGAGTAAGGGCCAGGAGTCAGATAGGGTCCTGGAGCTGTGCAAGAAGGAGCTGGCAGGTGAGAACTCTGACCCAAAGGAGAAGAGTATTATGGAGCTGAATGAAGAAGAGTCAGCTGGGGAAGTATTAGATCTAGATAACACAGGGTGGTCAAAGTGTGGTGCAGGGTCTGAGATAAGGACGGCTGGGGAGAGAGTGAAGCCGAGTGAGGAGTGTTTAGGGGGAATGGCTGGCCTGGATCAGTCAGGGCTGTCAGAGGAGACTTTGGTGCTCTGTGAGGAGGAGCTGCTGGGAGATGTGCTGGAGCCAGAGTGTGTGGGCAAGGAGTCACTGGGGTACAGTGCTCTGGCAGGCCAGCTTCAGTCTGGTCACCTGTGCCAGGACCAGCCACTGCCTCCTGAGACAAGCATGGAGGAGCTGCAGCCACTGCACCAGGAGGATCAGCAGAACTAGTGGCTCACTGGACAGCACACTACAAGCACTTCTAGCCTGGAGCCAGCCCAACTTCCTGCACAACACTTCATGCAGCTGGCTGTCCACAGCACAGAACAAGCCATGTCCCGAGGCCACAGGACTCTGAGGTGCTGAAGAGTCTGCTCCGCTCCTACGCAAGCCAGCTCTTTGCTGTCTGGCAAGCGACAACACCTCATCTGCCACGTTAAACCGACAACACATGCAGTCTTAGTACTGGCACAGCACCTCCATGGAGCAGTGACATGGGGCTGCGTTGGTGCAGGGTGTTCCAAGGGCTATGTGCTCACTGGGACAGCAGAGTTCGGGGATTGGTAGGGCCAAGGCTTTTGGGGTGGTGAGGCAGAAGGGGATAATTGCTCCCTGGAAATCTCTTGGCCTTCACAGCCTGGCCCAAAGTAACTGGGTTTCATCACAACCACCAACCTCCTCTCTGCTTCTTCATCCTTTTCTCCACCTCTCCATCCCCACCGTTGGTCACCAAAAACAGGTCTGGAGAGTCCTTGGCTGGAAGAATAGGAGAAGCAGAGGCAATCTGGAAGGATGTGGGAAGGACAGTAATGTGGTGATCAGGTTTGAGACTGCCACTTGCAAGAAAACCTCTCTTTGGAGTGGACTTGCGTGTTTTCCAAGTGAGCTGGGGCAGGCAGGCAGGAGCTTGGGGATCCGGTCCAAGAGGGGTGCAGGGAGAACACACACGGGTTTTTCTAGTCCCCAGGGGTCAGTCTGGATAAAGCTCTGAACCCTTTGGTGACAGAAATTAAAAGAAACTGCTATTTGAGCAAATCAGGATTATTAGAAACCAATAAGGAGAAATCTTTATTGTATATAAACTGAAAAATATTTAATGCATATTTATGTAAATGAATTGTGAGCACAAGCCTGAGGGCAAGATTGGCACAGGTGTCCCTGCCACATCCTGAATGCAGGCCAGGGCTGTGCCTCCTGCGCCTCCTGTATTTATGGACAAATTTGTGTGTTTGTCTGTAGCTAGGATCTGTGTTTCTGTGAAGCTGTGCCCAAAGATCTCTGCGCTGTGTTGTGATGATGTGTGTTCACAGTAAATCTATGCTGTGGGTCTGGTGTCTGTCTCTGATGCTGAATTGCCCAGCAGTGTGTACATACCAGAGCGGGCAAATGCCCAGGACAGCAAGCACTAGCACCGCTCATTGTTGGCCATCCTGGAAGAGAAACTGTGGCTGAGACTAGTTACGACCAAAGTGAGTATGCAGGCATGGGACCTTTCTCAGGAAGGCTGGGTACCTCTCTTCTCTGTAGGAGAACTGGTTATAAGGGGGGAAGGAGTCCTGGCTTCCCCCATCCCAGGGTGGTTTGCTGTGGAATGAAAATGCTGGGGCAGTGTGTTAGGCTCCTTTCACTTGACCCAAACCTTGTAAGAGCGCCAAGCATGTCCTGTGTACCAGGCCTGTCCTCTTCCCCGTACCTGATAATCCCTGGCTGCCAGTTTAAGTAGGGTGATGTCTACTTGCACTTGAATTGCAGCAGTCTTACAGCTCTCTTGAGTGTAGCATTGTGCCAAGAGGAAACCTAGCTCCGTTTTTCCACAGGGCTGTGCCAGCCTGCTCTTGTTAGGATGTATGCTGGCATCTAGGAGGAGGGCCTGCTTCATGCTGTAAGGAAGCCCTCTGGCTGTTATTGGTGACCCTACATTAAGGACCTGGAAGAACAGATGCCCTGACCTTCAGCTGTCCTGACTGGGGGCTGCTGGACTTTGGAGGCCCCCTCCAGTAGCTGGCTGCAAGAAAGCTAGAGGCAGGGAAGCTCTCTGGATCCTCCCTGCCCCTCTCCGGCACTGCCCAAGCACTCGATTCTGCTGTCCTTCCCAGCTCCCTCCTAAGGTCGGTGTATGTCATTACTGTTGCTCTAGCGGGAGAGCTGCTTCTCCTGAAGGGGTGGAGCCTACCTGGGCATGCACAGAGCTGGGAGCTTTGCCTGGACCTGAGAGGAGTTGTTGCTGTAATAGACCTAGCATCTTCTGCAAGCCGTCACTGCTAAGTGGCACGCTGCTCCTTCAAAGGTGATGCAAGCGGGAGTCTTGTGGGCTCAGAAGCCTGGACTTGGGGGGTACTTACCCCAGTAAAACTGGGAGCTCTTGTAGGGCCTTAGCACCTGCTGTGGGACAGGTTTACTTTGTACAAATGTCTGGCAAATCAGCTGCCTTTCTGCTCCCTCTGCACTGCAGAGAGAAGGGTCAGACAATTACAAGGGTAAGACAGTAATGTAGTTTCTGGATACCCTGGCAGCACCTAGTGTTTTTGGCTAAATCCTGACAAAACCAACTCTGGTTCCTCAAATCTATGCTGATGCTTAAGCTACACTTTTCAAACGCTTCTGGGCTGCACAGATCGTTGTCCCATCAGCACAAGTGGCTGCTACATGGTCCTGTATCTCTGGCTGGATGTAGCTACAAACTTTGCCTACAGTGGTTGGGGTAGCTGGGATCAGGCTTGTGACATCCATGGCAGATACTGGTAAGCAAAACTCCCTTCCTGAATTCTTGTTACCGTGTGCAATGGAAAAGTAGTATGGAAAAGTGTATCAAGGGCTCATGGCCGAGCAGGCAGGAAATACCAGCTGTGTCTGTATCAAGTAGTTGGAGCATGGCAGTATCTTATGGAGGCTGTGGTAAGTGACAGTTCAGTTCCTCTGTCAGATCATGTATTCCTCACTGTCAGTCAGCATGTATGAGCAGAGTCCTTGGAATTGGAGAAGTTGTGGGATTGTACCGCATATGCAGTCATTATGCTTTTGGCTTGGTGAGGCCCAGGGAGTCCTGACTGTTCAAACAAGACCAAACTAGGTGTGCTGCTAATGCCTTGGGCACTCCTCTGGCTGAGCGGTTTGCAAATGCTGAAAGAACTGATTAAGTGAGGGCCATATCATTACCTTACTGGAAGCTGCCCTTTTGTTTTTCCTTTCTTCTGATTACTCAGTGCCATGTCGTTTTCCCGTGAATGACTAATCCTTACTTTCCCACATCCTACCCAGCAAGTGAGGGACACAACTCACAAGGAGAGGACAGCTGTTTTCTATCCTCTGTGTGTGTGCCCCCTTTTCCCCTACTGCTCTTGGTCCAGACGGACTCTCTGCCCCAGTGCTACCCAGCTAATGCCTGCTCTGTCTGCTGGCTGCAGAGGAACAATCAGCCCGGGAGCTTGAAGGGCTTGCTATTTGCCTCTTGTTGTTTGAGTTGAGCAAAGTCCAGTTTGGCACTGAATTGTAGCCCTGGCAAAGCCAAGGCCTGCTCTGGAGCCTTTGCTGATCTACTTCCCTGTTCCCTGTTACAGACAGCTGCCTGCGGGTCAGCACTGATGCTGGTATCCAGGTCTCACAGACACTAGAAAGACTCCAGCTTCACTGTCCTGCCTTGCTCATTGCTGGAGGAGCATTGCTGCCTCAGGACATACTTATGGGACTTGCACCATGTCCCTGCACTCTACCTACTACATTTTCTGCTATGGTGATTCTGACTTTGCCTTCCTTCTCCTTCAAAACAGCCTGTAGTAGATGCCTTCACTGCAGCCTGCAGTCCATCTAAACAGGCGACAGGGAGCTCTGTTCTGCAGGATGGTGCCAAACAGATGTTCAGGCCACCCTTCTCTGTATACCCTCAGCTCACAGCTTTTCAGTTAGCAGGAGCATAGCCATATCCACGTACTGTTGAGATGGAAAGCGGTTGTGGAAATAGTTTCTGGTTCGTGGAAATAGTTTCTGGTTCATGGAAATGGTCTGTGGTCCCTCCCCTGTCAGTAGCAGCTTTGGCAGGCTGCCCTAGGATCTTTGCAACATGCTGCACAGCCACATTAGGTTGTGGCTGCTATGGCTGCTCTTCTGAGGATCCTAGACCAGCGCCTGCTTTCCCTGTCCCCTGCGCGCAACTGTGCCACTGTGTTGCCTCCTGGGGACACTCAGACAGGAGCAGAGCTGATTGGGCATCAGCCTCTCCTGACTTGATATCTAGCACAGGCAGAGCAGGAGACTGCTGTCCTAGTTTTCCTCTGAGTAGCAAAAGAGCTGAAATAAATTGACTTCCTCTTCAGAGGTAGGCTATGGAGAGATATGAAGGTCCTCTATTGCAGTAGGGATATGCAGTGCGTGATGCCCCGTCCATGCCCGAGTGGCCTCAGGCACTGAGCTGAGCCCCTGATGCTGGTGCGTTGCCTGGCTGGCTTGCGCAAGGCTCTTGGCAGAGCGCTGCAGCGTTCAGGAGCTGCAAGGCAGCAGGGGGTGTCTGCAGGACAGGCTGTCCCATGCTCCGAGCCTCCACCTTCGCGTTCAGGCCTGGGCCCTTGGGCGTGCGCGAACCGGCAGGAAACCTCCTCTGAAGAGGAGGAAGCTGGAACTGTAAATTACCCCGCTGGGATCGAGGAGAGAGGTTGGTGTCTGGGGTAGGGATGTCTCTTCAGTGGGGCCACAGGAAGTTTTAGCAGCTGCAAGTGAAGGTGTGGAGCAAAGTGTGATTAGTGGAAAAGCCTGGGCTCACCTGGACTCATCAGCTGTGATGCAGCTGGCCAGCACGGGAGGAGGGAAGGATGCTGGTATGGTAGCAGTGTCTACATGTCCCCTGCCTACGGTGTGGACTCACTTAAAGGAAGAGTTTAAAACAGCTGAGAGTGTTCTTGTTCACAATTAATGTGGCTTTATTATTAACGTGTTGGGCTCCTCCCTTGACAGTTGTTAGTTACAGTGTTTCACATGGAAAGGGGCAGAAGAACAGAAGTCAAGGAACTAAACTGAAATAGAAACATGATGCTGAAGAAAAGAATCAGGGCTCTGTTTCAAAACATTCAGCATAGAAAGAAGCTAGAAGCACAGGTTGCCATTTCAATACAGTTAAGACGTTCACTTTTTTAATTATAGGTTTAAAATAGTTTTTTTTAACCTATTACATACAGGAAGATTACGCGTTGTTGCCCACATGCAGAAACAAGCAAAAGCAGAGTTTAATGTTTTCTCTATGGTGTTGTTACCTCTGGCTCTGGATGGGTCCTGCTGGCCCCTGCAGCCACTTATGGGGCTGAGCGGGATCAGACCCTTTACAAAATTGGCATTTTTACAAGTCTTTTTCCCCATAGTTTTTGAAGAGAGAGAGAGAGAGAGAGAGAGAGAGAGAGGCTGAAGGCAGCACAGACTGCTACAAAAGACTAAAAAAAGTGTGGAGTCTCCAGGACAGGGAAGCAAACTGGTGTAGGATAAAGCTGTCAAAGCAGCAGAGCCGCAGAGCGCAGCGAGTGGAGGGCAGCTGTCCAGCAGAACGCACGCCCGGGATGGCACTCCTGCTGGGAGGATGCAGGCACCTTGCAAAGCCTCACTATCACTGCTTCTTAGTCAGAATTGCTTCAAGTTTAAGACTGAGAAACATTCATGTGTGGGTCTATCTAAAGTTAGTGCATTAGCTTTTCTTCCTAGCTACTCTGAGGGATCCAGGGCTCCGGTCAATGAGGATGCAACATTTGTTCCTCTGGCTCCCTGGTGCTGAGCGTGAGGCATCCTGCCCCTGCAGCTGCTGGTCAGCCAGTCCCAGCGGCAGGTGAGCCAGGATCTCCCAAAGCACTGAAGGCAACACCCCCAGAGCAGCGTCCAGGGGAGAACTGGAGAGAGTCTGTTACTGCCTGCAATTGCTTGCCATGCCCAACATTCGTAGACAGTGACCCCATTGGATTACAGAGAATGACGTTTATTCTTCTGGCAGACGCATTGATCCAATGGTTAAAATGAATACAGCACAAGGCAGGGATTTGATAAATCCCTGAGTAAGCTCACATGCTCCTAACAAGGACTGTGTCAAAAGGGCTGGCTGCTTCTAGGGGAGGGGTTGCTATCCTCAGGCTTTGTCTTGCAGGTGCTTCGTTTTAGATACAGCCTTGCAGGCTTCAACCAGAGACCCCTTTCGCTGCCAGCAAATGCTCTGCCCAATTCTCTATGGTCTTTTGTTGTTCTTTTAATCACAGCATCTGAGTATCTGCACTGAGAAACCTATGAACTGACACCAAGAGCGCATGGTGCCATGTTAATATGTATAAATTAAAATATTCACACAAAATGCAGCTTAACATCAAAAA